GTATAAAGACCTGTAGCACCAGCGGACTGCCAATATCCCGTGCAAATTTCCTCTGAAATATCATTAGAGGAAAATTAGCTTTATTGAACTGACAAGGGTATAGGAAGTTGTAAAGCAGAGTGCTTACAAGAATACGACCAAATAGTTTGATGTTTATTAACTCACGAAGGACCCAATAGTTCAACATTTATTAACTCCAGGGCAAACTCCGGAGTAATTTCAGCATTGATGGATTGACGGGGTATTTCTCCAATGTTTCTGATACCAAGATAGATGAACTGATGATCTCTGCGAGGACTTATTTCCTTATCTCACAAAACCGTTCCTGCCTGACCATCAATCTTTGTCATATAGATTCTTGTGTAAATTGTGTGATATTATGCAAATGTGACAAGAGCATTGAGGATTGAGATTTTATTATTGGGTGGGATACATGTCTCCATTAACAATTCACAAATGGGAAAGACGTCAGATGACTCATGCCTTCCAGTGGATAAATCTGAAGAATTGCTCCAGGACAATTTTATCAATGTTGGGATGTTACATATCAGCACTTTGGATGGATTTAAACTGACACTTGTGGTCAGCCTGGTGTCCATATTAAGGTGGTAATAGCAATTGACCACATGTGACATTGACCAGTTTGATGAGGTCTGGCCAGTGCGACCTTATCAAAGGTCTCCATGCTATGTGAAACACAACACTTGCCCTATCCATAGATCACAATATATCACCAATTTGTAGCCACAGTTTCACACACAATGGTCTGGGAGGTGGCTGGTGTTGGCCATCAACACCTCTCTCCCTTTGTAATTGAAACTAGTCCCAACATGCCAGTGTGGTCAGTTTGTCAGCATTCTGTCTTCACCCCTTGGTTTATGATGACCCATGGTCAAGCTAGTTTATCCAACACTGCTGTATCAGATAAATCTACAGCTAGGAAGTTCTCACACGATTAAGGGTCATTTTAGGAAAATGTCATGATTGAATTTAAAAACGACAGGTGTAAAATGGTATAATATTGTGCTGGATACAATGGAAGGTACAAAGTTCAACATCTACAATAACATAGTAAATATAGTGGAAAAAATTTAATGGGATACACTGATCAGCAAATATTCCTATGTAAACAGCAGGGTTGTGCTTTATATACATTTTGGTCAGTGTATAATTCTAAACCTTAACCAAACATTTGGATAATTTGATCTACCATCTGCCTATAGAGTACTTGTATGACCAGGGAGATGTTTCTGACAAGTTGCAGCGGTCATTGTTTATACTGGTCAGTAGTGGTACTAGGGAAGGACTGTGTTTCTCTGACATACCTCTCCTTCTTGTAGGGGTGGGGAGTGGGGGGAGCATGTGTCAAAGCATGACTTTCATGAGTTTCATAGAGTTTCATTTCTCATCATACGCTATTGTTATTCTGCCCCCCCCCTGCCCCCACCTCCCCAAAGGCACCCATCATCCAAAAAATTAATTGAATTTTCCTTTTCCTTTTATGAAATGTATCAAGATATTTTGTATAAAAAATCAACCGTGACTACAAGTAGATATAGCCTTGTCTGATTGGCTTGAACCTTCAAGCAGACAATCACCGAAATACCAAATTAGCAAGCTTGCTTCTGGTTCAGCCTCTGGAGGTTTGTTTGTATTTGTATCTGCACTCTTTGCATGCTGAAGATGACATTATCTTAAAATACATAAAAGTCTCCCTCTAGGCCCTTGTTATTTAAGCTGACAATTTATATGACGACCTGCACTCTAGACTTCTGAGATATATGCGAAGACCTGCCCTCTAGACCCCTGTAATATAAGCTGACAATATATATGAAAACCTGCCCTCCAGAGCCTCAATGCATTACACAGAGTACATATGTTTGCTGTGTGTGTACAATTACCATGCCAGAAACGGCATGTAGCAGGAACACACTGGCAACACAAACATTTTTATAACGTTTATCTGTTTTCTCACAAAGTAGAGAAGCTCATTCATCATGTGGTTAAAATTCTTCATATAGACTGAATTAGCTTCCTCTCCAGACCTGGCTCGTCTTTATATGGATGTCACTAGTGAATTTAACTTTCAAAATTGTACAAATATACCTTTAGGATATTATAATAAAAAAGTAATGTACTTTTCTCTTCTTCATTCTTTGTTTGAATGGAAGATTTAAAATGACCTGAGGTTTGTAAGGGAATGGGTTGTAATTCCTTTAATCCTAGCTGTTCTCGCCTAGTCTATTCTCTGGTAAACACTCCAGGTCAAACATTCTCACATCCACAGGCAGAGTCGTGCTGTCTGTTTACTGTCCTCCACACGACACCGGGCACGTGTACCCAACAACACAGACAGCAGTTTAGGATTATACCCACGAGTACCTAAACCCTAACTTGTAAATTTGTGTGTAAATACTGGTATTTGAAGATGTAGGACATGGACTAGCTTTTAGAGTTGCCTTTTATGTGTGATAAATTGGGTGTCCACTCCGGGTATGGAGACAAGACTGGTAGTGATGGGAGACCGCCTACAGATGTACACTGATCCCATGTCTTTACTGTACTTCTTCGTTGTAATTGTTTATCAGGGAGATAAACTTCTACAACATGATATTGCAAATTTATACAAAATATCTATAATTTAAACTCATAATTAAAAAAAATATACGTGACATTTTCTTTTAATGTTAATTTCAATTTACTTTTGGTACACCCGTTACAAACGCCAACCTGACTCTTATATTTAAATTGAAAGTATTTGTGTTTTACCAACACCACGATGGCCTTGCCAACTGACCAAACAATACAAAAACATGATGGAACACAAAATATGTGATGTCAGGTCAATACGAGATTGGCGGTTATCAAATCCCATCCTCATACGTCTTGATCATGTCGGCTTATCACCCCCAACTTGTCAATTACAGCTTCCACAGGTTATCAACAAATGTCCCCGTGATCATCAATTTCGCTATCTTACATGTGATTCTCTGTGCTAATCAAAATAAAATTTATACTCTTTCATTCCTGGGGAAAAAACTTGTACGACTACCTTGGTTCTTTATGACTCCACGCACAATTACGTTGATGTAGAATCAGGAGAAAAAGAAATCTATGTTTGTTTTTATGTCTCCGATGGTGTGATGTGAAGAAAATAATTAATGAAGTTTCTGTCTGACAGGGAAGGTATAGGGTTATCATTATATAGGGTTGTCATTATGTTAGGTTATCATAATATAGGGTTATCATTATATAGGGTTGTCATTATATAGGGTTATCATTATATAGGGTTATCATTACATAGGGTTGTCATTATGTTGGGTTATCATAATATAGGGTTATCATTATATAGGGTTGTCATTATATAGGGTTATCATTATATAGGGTTGTCATTATGTTGGGTTATCATAATATAGGGTTATCATTATATAGGGTTGTCATTATATAGGGTTATCATTATATAGGGTTATCATTACATAGGGTTGTCATTATGTTGGGTTATCATAATATAGGGTTATCATTATATAGGGTTGTCATGATATAGGGTTATCATTATATAGGGTTATCAATATGTAAGGTTGTCATTATAAAGGGTTATCATTATATAGGGTTGTCATTATATAGGGTTGTCATTATTTTGGGTTGTCATTTTATTGGGTTGTCATTACATAGGGTTATCATTATATAGGGTTGTCATTATATATCATTATAAAGGGTTGTCATTATATAGGGTTATCATTATCTAGGGTTGTCATAGTCTTACAGGGTTACTATAACGTTATTACAAAGTATTAATATTAGTTTTATAAGGTTATCAGGTGTAAAAGGTTTATCATATTATTGGGTTAACAGGGAATATAGTACTTTAGCAGTACAGTGTTATCAGGTATCACAGAGAAGAAGTTAGAGGTTAGAGTTCACCAGTGGTTACTTAAGATTTTAAAGTTAAAAAACCCACCAATATCATGGAATCTTCTACAGCTTCATTGTTAAAAATGTGTTGATAGGACCAATTGGTATGTTTTGGGTATGAGTTGTACTTTAAAAATTCCTCATGTCTTGGTGTAAAATAGTTGGAAATATTTCTCTTACATATAGGTAGTAGATATGATTTGACCAACTGGGTCATATTTCTATGTTGGACTTTCTGTCCTCTGATCTCCGACAGATGGCAAACTTGTTTGTTTATCAACAGATGAGAAATGTAAATCAGTTTAATGGTATTGATATTTTGGCCTTTTCTGTCCCTTTGACCCTGTAAAATATTTAAATGCTTGTTCCCATGAGGGGTAATTAAATCCATATGATGATGGCCCTTTTGACTGGATTATGGCCCCTTGTGCTGGTACCCAGATGGAAGGACAGTTGTTGGTAGCCATCTTATGTCACAAGTACTCCAGATCTGTCAGCAAGTATGGCTATAGAACAGGTGCTTCCTACTTCATTCTACCAATCAGTCACTCACTTTAATGTCAATTTTATGGTCAGTGGCTGGAGAGAATGACCATTTACATTTATTGGCTGACCAAAGGTCTGCTGCTATCATTATTGTAATTCTAACATTTCAAAGTACCCTGATATCTCTACCAATACATGGTAGGGAATTCATTTCCTAAAACAAACAAACATGTACAGGCCAGTACTTTGGTCAGCTGAATTGGTCAGTATGTTAATGAGGTGATCACTAGAATTCCATTTAACAGATCAAATTGGATCTGTCCATCAAACTAGACATTAATATCACTGGCACATTGTTTTATGGTGTCACTTTAACCTTAACTAGCCACAATATTGTCTGATGTGGTTACCATTGAAACTAGCCACTGTACTTTGGTTGCCTTGGAAACTAGACAACCACTCCATGAAACAAACTTTGATGGATGTCTGTTCAAAAAAATTTAGCAGAATTTATTAAAATATTTTCAACTAACTTTACATTTTCTTTTATTCTTTTGAAGCTGGTTGCCTTATTCTGTAAATCATTTTTTTTCTCTTTACAGCTGCAGCACCGAACCAGAACTTGCCAAACCCTAGAATTACAGAACACCCACAGGATGACTACTTGTCTCCCAATAACCCAGAAACTTTGGATTGTCGGGCAGAGGGCGACCCGAAACCCACCATAACATGGTATCACAATAACGAACGTGTGATAACGTACCCGGAGAATCCCTCAACTCCGAAGATGTTAATCGAAGACAGGAAGTTATTTTTTCTAAGCGTTACACATAATAGGAAGGAATCTGACGTAGGAGTATATTACTGCAACGCAACCAACATTCATGGCAGTGCAATAAGCCGAAATGCAACTCTTAAAATTGCTGGTAAGTTTCCTTGCTTTGATGGGCAAAATATTAAAATCCTCACAAAATAAACGAACCAATCTGATGCCAGGCTCCAATTCCTTAGAGATCCTATCATCAAAGTCTATAGGAAATTTGTAGTTTTAGATTCGGACTTGAAGTTTTTGTGCGATATGTTACGAGAGTTTTTTTTAAATGGGAACTTTTGATTGACTGTTAAAGTCTGGCACAGAACTGCTGGCTTTTTAGGACTGTGTGAAAGAAAAGATTTCCTACAGGGACTCTGAGGAACTGTGTGAAAGAAAAATATTTCCAAGAGCAACTTTGTGAGGAAGTGTGTGTGATATGTTAAAGTCATGCTAACTTGGCAATAGCTCATACAAATACAACCTTATGGAATTATCTTGTGTTTTATCTTGTGTATTTTGGGTGCAACTGTTTTTTCTTTCTTTTTTTTTCTAAACCAATTCTAAAGTAGAAGATCAAGTTATCATACAATTGTAATAAAAATCAAGGCCATTAGCAATATCATTTCCATAAGTGCACACACAAGATAACAAAAATGAAGGATTTTTTTTAACAAGTGCTTACATTCAATAGTGTCATTGTTTATTATCTTAGTACACTACTGTCAAGAGGTCTGGTCTGTTGCCATGGTAACTCTTCTTTCATGAGGTCTGGTCTGTTGTAATTGTAACTCATCTGTCAGGGGGTTTGGTCTGTTGTCATTGTAACTCTTCTGTCATGAGGTCTGGTCTGTTGCCATGGTTACTCTTCTGTCATGAGGTCTGGTCTGTTGTCATGGTTACTCTTCTGTCATGAGGTCTGGTCTATTGTCTGAACACTTTACAGTCAGGAGCTTTGGTCTGATGTTGTCTGTTGTCATGGTAACTTTACAATCAGGGGACTGGTCTGTTGTTTTTGGTTGTCATGATAACTAAACAATCATGAGGACTGGGCTGTTGAATTATTTGATGGTGTTCAGTTTTACCATCTGTATCACAAACAGCAAGACAAGACCCGTACAACAGAAATTAAGTGCTAGATGATGTAACTGGAATGAGTTTTTCCTTTGTCATAATGTAACACAATTCAACTTCATAAACAAGTGATTTCATCATTTACAGAAACTCCTAAAGCTCCTTTATCATGCTATTAATTAACTTGTGTAGTCATTATTACATAAATCCATTAACCCTGTCATCCCTAATTTTTTTCAAACATGAACTACCCTCCACATTCATAGGAACGTTCCATGTTGTTGTTGTGGGGTGGGAAATATTGATGGCTCAAGCTAACTAGGCCTTTGTTTAGAGGGTCAAGATGGTAAAGGGTCTTTAAGCTTCATTAACCCAAGTGTTAGTCAAATATCACTTCCTTACAATATATTCCTGATAACCAAAAATCAATATGCTATACAAAGTAAACAGCATGTGTTTCCATTCAGCTTCATGCTTCAAGTCCCAAAATGTGTAAATACTAATGTTTTCCATGATGACAATACAACAAAGTCTGTTAACACAGTGTTTCCAAATCCTACACTTACTTTTAGCATCACTGATACTGCTGTGTCCCCAAATTTAAATCTTCTGTCAAGTTTCCGCTTCACTTAGGATTTGAAAGTGATTCACCTATGTGCAGTCGTTAATCAGGAGTATTTGCTTCCTTCATTGACGAAATAAACATAGAAATTAATTTTCTAAAGGAAGAAAAGCTGATGTAATTTTCCATTCAATTTATTCCCTTCAAAGCATTTTCATAGAATCATTAAATGTATAAAAATTTCGCGTTTGAAGATGAAATTGTCCGCAGCATGAAGCCTGCTGATTCCTGGGTCAGGTTTGATAGCTTTAATATACTTCTACTAGATTGAGATATACCAGTGGAATTATGGGATATTTCTTATCTGGACTGTGGTAAATATTGAGAAACTCAGATGGCAACAAAGATTTGACATGTGCTCTCCAACAAAGGATAACATTCATGGAATAGAATAATATAACTTGATGGAAAAATTTTTCAAAAATAATAATTCTTCACCAGCAAAGTTTACAAGTGTATGTAAGAAAAATGTCATTAACGGTAACCATAGATATGTAACATTTACCGTAGCAACACACTGCAGTCTTATCTCAATTGGCCACTCTTTAATGGAAGCTAAGATGGAATATGCAAAAAATGAAATAAATTGAATTTGATGACTTATTGCGGGGCAGGTAGTGCCCCCTGGTGGAGGGACAGAGGGCTTTAGATATCGTGTTAAGTAGCTCAACAAAACATGACACCATACCAATAAAAATAAGATAGTTATGAAAAATATATCAACCATATGAACTTTATAATTCCAAGCTATAAATCGCTGGTTTAAAGCAAGACAGGAGGCCTGATTAATATGAAACGTGAGGAGTTTCATATGTTACTTTACTGATCAGAGTCAGGTGGATGTTTTATTTACATATTATTGCAGTGATCAGAGTCATGTTGACTAAACAAGTCTGTGATAAGATGCGTAATAATTATATGTGTGGCATAATCATATTGTGTGGTCTATAGCAACTCTTTCCATGTTGGAATAAATCACGATTCTCTCTTGCTTTGGTCTTCTATTCTTTTTGATTTTTTAGGCTAAATGTACCACACTTGTGTTTCAGCCTATTGTTTCAGCCTATTGTTTCAGCCTTTGGAGCAAGTTTTTCATTTCTTTATTTCTTAGATGTGTGCAATTTTTTATTTTCATTTCTTTGCATCATTTTCAGTTTTAAAAGATAATTTCCGAGAGTCTCCATCTAGCCAGTCAGCTGCTGTAGGTGAAACTGTCACATTTCACTGTCAACCACCTAAAGGAGAGCCGGAACCAACCATATTATGGCTGAAATCCAGCGAGCAAATTCAGACTGGAAGCAGCAACAATCGTTTCCAGGTCAAACCAAACGGTGACCTTGTCATTACATCCACACGGAAACGAGACGCCGGTATTTATAAATGTATTGCCAGTAACAAGGCTGGAGAGAGGGAAAGCAGTCCAGCGACACTCAAGGTTTTAGGTAAATAGAGCGAATATGTGATTCATTATTAGGGTAGTCAAATCGAGAAACACCTCAAAAAAATCATTTTATGTGTAAACGTGATGATTTATCAGAAGATTTATAGATAAAGATGAAGTAACTCGTCTACAAATGAACCATGCATACAAGATGTAGTTGTGATAAGGAACTGTAGATTGCATGTTATTACTGTGTCACTAATGGTTTACGCTAATGACATTCAGTTTTATACACAACAGGCAAATGAGTTTGTCAGAATATATCATCTGGTATGTCGTATTATTGAAATGGCTGTGTCATATATATCATGTCGTGATGGAAAGTTTTAAATTACATTGTCAAAATATATGAATACCTTTCTACAGAATCTAATTGATGGATTATTTTGTAGAAAAGCCAAGCTTCAGACGATATCCAGTGGATGTGACAACAACAGAAGGAAAAACTATTGAGTTCCCTTGTGATGTGATAGGGGACCAACCCTTAAATGTGGAATGGAAGAAAGAAGGAGGTGTTATTAAATATGGAAGGTAAGTGAGGTCATATCTAACTCTTGAAATCTGTCCAACCAACGGAAAAAAAGAGATAAAATTTAATATTTTCATAAAAATAAAGTGTAAATTGGGATGATTTCTCAGTAACTAACTTGAAGTTTGTCGAACCTGACATAAAGTAATGAAATATGCCGAACAAATTATTCAACAATCTTAGATAAGACACAGATTTTTCCATCTTACACATGGAACAACCATTTCTCCCTCAGATATAAAAACTTAATGTGGCATGATTTCTCATAACAGAATGCGAAAGTTGCCAGATCACATGTTAAGAATTGAGGATGTGGAGTCAAGTGATGCTGGAACCTATATATGTGTGGCAACCAATGCTGTAGGAACCACCGAAGCCGTGGCAACACTCACTGTGCAATGTAAGTGAAATAAGAAAGTTATCTGAAAGATGGATGAGTAGAATTATAAGGTAGATGTTTGTCCTGCCCGATAATAAGCCCAGTGGATCATGAAAGCCCATTCTGTTCAGATTCAGTAGCTTGGCTTATTACAGGACAGTCAAATAGCACTTGTAGGTAGTTTTACTGAATGGCCAACACATTGAGGTGGGCTTATTAGCTGACATAGGCTTTTTTTACAGTATTCTTCTGTCATTTTATCAGGATTTACCCTTTCTGGTCAAATGTGTAGAGCGGACAGTAGAGGTTCATGATATCAAAGTGTGTAGAATAGGCCATAGAAGTTCATGATATCACAGTGTGTAGAATGGGCAGTAGAGGTTCATGATATCACAGTGTGTAGAATGGGCAGTAGAGGTTTATGATATCACAGTGTGTAGAATGGGCAGTAGAGGTTCATGATATCACAGTGTGTAGAATGGGCAGTAGAGGTTCATGATATCACAGTGTGTAGAATGGGCAGTAGAGGTTCATGATATCACAGTGTGTAGAATGGGCAGTAGAGGTTCATGATATCAAAGTGTGTAGAATGGGTAGTAGAGGTTCATGATATCGCAGTGTGTAGAATGGACAGTAGAGGTTCATGATATCACAGTGTGTAGAATGGGCAGTAGAGGTTCATGATATCAAAGTGTGTAGAATGGGCAGTAGAGGTTCATGATATCACAGTGTGTAGAGCGGACAGTAGAGGTTCATGATATCACAGTGTGTAGAATGGGCAGTAGAGGTTCATGATATCACAGTGTGTAGAATGGGCAGTAGAGGTTCATGATATCACAGTGTGTAGAATGGGCAGTAGAGGTTCATGATATCACAGTGTGTAGAATGGGCAGTAGAGGTTCATGATATCACAGTGTGTAGAATGGGCAGTAGAGGTTCATGATATCACAGTGTGTAGAATGGGCAGTAGAGGTTCATGATATCACAGTGTGTAGAACTGGCTTTAGATATACAACATTATACTGTGATATTGCCTGACGGCAGACTAAGCTGGAAGTAAACTCTAACTAATTAAAACACAACATGTCGGGTTAATTGATTTCATCTCACACGGGGCTAGACCCTCAATCACCTCGGACACCTTTACATACCTGTCATGTGAACTGTCGCGCCCCTCGTTTGTCACCTGTCACCACGACACAGTGTGATTAGTTTTTGTTTGTATTTATGACAATGCTGGTCTGCTACGTTATCAGAAAGTTTACGTGTTTCTCCAAGACTGTGTATTGATATTTTATTATACCTCCAAGACAAGATGTACTCTACTCTGATGACAATGATGTATTAATTGTTACCAGAAAAATATGTAATATTCATTAGGATTGTGTATATGGTTCAGCGTTATTGTGTTAGTGTCAGTATTGAAATAGACAAATTACTACAACGGTGTCCAAGTCAACATAATACAGTGTATTTGCACCTGCTACATGTCGTACAGGTCACCGGAAATACATACTTCTGTCCTAAAACAGAAATGAACGTCAGGAATATTTCTTTGATAACAATGAAGTCGAAATATCAGGAAATTTTATTTTTCAAAGAAGAAACTTGGTTTAGAAATTTGTAGTAAGAAAGAAAGATATTATTGAAGAAGATATAAAAGTATTAGAAAAGAAGAGGTCAGACGTAGGGTTGATATAGGCTTACAACAGTTCCTATCAATAATGCATGTGTAAATCATGATGCCGTATGCTTCTACTCGTCATTTGATTCATGACCCCTATCATACCTGGCTAGCTGTCGCTATATTTTTACGGCCCAGTTTCTTATTTCAAAATGATATCACACACCATGAAAAAAGTCTGGTGTTGACAGAAGAGTAATGAGGAGCATGAAGACAAATATCATAATTGTCAAATTCTCACAATAAATCTTGTCTAGGAAATTTTTTTTTGTAGGACCAGAAGATCTGTAATGTATTGTTTATTGATGATGTGATAGTAACTGTCACAGTGGAAGGCTGTTAGTATCTTAACAAAAAACAAGTGTTTCAAATAAAATTTGACAATAAGATTTTTTTTCTATAAAATTTAAATAATTTCAAGCAGAGTTGAATTTTATGAGTTGGCCTGGTCGTAAATGCCTTATCCAGTATCAAGGGTGTGAAGGAAAGAGTATTAATATTTAATTTATGCTGAGATATGGGACCTAATTAGCCAACTCTGGGGAGTCTCACAGACAGGCAAAATATCAGACAACTCGTTAACGACATCTTGTGCTACCTGTAAAGTTTTTACCTGGTGTTCAGGTCCTAACTAGACTATCATTGTCTTTGGTTGGCTGGCTTCACAAGTGTTTTGTGACTTTTGGATTATAAATGACAAATGGAAAGGCTGGTCTCGTATTGGGTAATGAGTTGATTGCTTATGTGACGGAATTTAAAGACAAAATTTGGTCAGATGTCAAATTTTCGTGGGACCAGAAGGAATTTTATGTCACTGTCGCCTTATTAAACTATAAATGTCAGTGAAAATGAAACACAGGAAAAATTCTTTAAATATTTCTCTATTTAACTTAAGGCTATATCCTGCACCTGTTAGTAACCTACCATTTATATTTATAAACAGATGTTTCTTGTATATGTTGAAATTTTATTTGTCATTTCTGGTGGAACAGATAAATCATGAAATCTCCTTGTCCTTTCTGTTGGTGATCAATTTTTTTTTTATGCCTGTTTTTTTTTTCTGTGACTTAAATTTCTTCATTCTGCTCTTGTTTTATAACAACTATTTTGTATATGGTTTGCAGTCAAGCCGGTGTTTATTGTAAAACCACAAGACAAACACGTAGCTGTTGGAAGAACTGTGACGCTGCCTTGTGCTGTGATGGCAAATCCCATCCCAAACATTTACTGGAACAAGAAACGGTCACTTAGCACATCCAGTAAAGAGGTAGGTAACTTAACATAGGTACAGTGATCGTCCTTATCATTCTTTATGGAGATACATAGGCACCAGAAGCAGACAGTATCATTTGATAAAACCAGTGACAGTAAGCCAGAAAACGTTTGAATAATAAAAGAGAAAACATTTTATCTTGTGTGGTAGAAAATTCAGACATTTCTGTGACCTGTTAAACAGGATTAGAAAATTGGATACTGTTCGTAATTGAGTCAGGCAAAAAGTACTAGAACTCTCTGATAGATTGATTTTATTATCCCCTAGCTCCGTACAATGTGAACCACAATGAAGTGCACCATACTTTTATTCTGGGGATTGTGGGTAATAATAATGACACAAATCACCAGCTTTAAAATATCTTCAATGATAAAAAACAAAATTGATCAATGATTTTGATTGAAGCATTCCTTTTTTGTGGATGTTTACAAACCAACCCCGTGGTGGTAGCAGATTAGCCATTGATTTCTTGCACTACCGTCCTAATAGTGTCATTATATTTTCTTGATTGTAATTTTTTTGGTGTCTCGCCGAAAAAATTTGTGACGAAATCTTGCAAAATACAGACAAAGAATTTGTTCATACCCCTAAGATACAAGGGACATGATTCAAATAATCCCTTTTGTCAACAAAACCCTGTCTCCCCTCCAATCAACAGTCTCCAAACAAATTGATGCTCTCTAGGAATTTCCCAATCTTCTTAGAAAGGATTTCCTGATGTTGTTGCCATAGCAACAGAGGGTTAAGTGTTGCCTGCGTCTTTCTGTAAAAAAGGTTTGTCCAATTTGACATTTGACATCTTGAAGATTAATCTTGGGAATTCTTTCTGACTTTTGGGCTTTTGATGAGCAATGCTTCTAATTAAATCAATGATTAGATTTTTGTCAAATTTGATGGTCTGGGAAGATGGCTGCTGCCAGAATCAGCTACCTTAGTGAGGTTGTTAACATACACATTGGAAAAGATGGAGAGAAATAATTTCACCAGAAATAATTCTGAATTTTATTTGTATAATCTAAATTAGTTGTTTGCTGTTGGTCTGAATAGAATTTAATTGATAATCAGTTAAAGACTTATCATTTTTGAATTGAAAATTTGGCAAAGCTACAGTTAGTTAAAAACACATCATAGAGGAAATTACATTTAGAAATAATTATTTCAACATGACGGATAATTGAGTTTAAGGTTCTGTTAAAAATATTTGAAATATTTGAGTCGACACCTGTGAATCATGGCTGACAAATTAGATACACCTAGAACTAAACACTCTGTTACAGATGACTGTTGTAAAAAGGCCAGAAACTTTTTAGGGTAGTGTTGTACTTCTTGTTGTATTATGAAGTTTTGACACATAAGATAGATTGTTTGTTCAGTGGGAGGTGATGGGGAGCTGGGAGGAATGTCTCTCAGTGTCTCTGTTACCAGTCTGACATGTTGAAAACACCAAATGTTTGGTGTCGGTTCTCAGAAAATGAAATCTGAAAGCTAGGAAAAGTTCTGGTAGTTTCTTTCAGACTGGTTTTAAACAAAATCTTGAAAATAGAAATTTCGTCTAAAATCTGATAATTTATGTTAAAGTTCACTCTGCTGGAAATCCTTCTCTTTATCAGATGTTAACTGTGTCACATGAGATTTTGTAGTTGACATAAACAGCACTGAAGGTTCTGACAAACTTATTGCCATATTAATTACAATTATTTTTATAAATCTGTCCCCTACATGTACTCTTCTGAAAATATTGAGAAAGAAGCAAGGTTCAGACATTAGCTATTTTTGGGCACATTTTATGTTTGAAGCAATCTTTATAGAAAGGTGGTTCTATTGAGAGGTAGTTTTTATAAAAAGTTGATATCTAGAATATATATTTTTAGACAAATGGACAGGGTTCTGTAAGATGAAATGAAAAGGTACATCTTCTGTGTGACGACAGTATTTTCTAAGAATATTTTTACAGAATATCTGATAGGTAATACATTGTCTGCATTGTACTTCTGGTGGTGTCACTATTGTAACCACACAAAGCAATGACATCACAATTAAGTCACAGTGTCCTAATTCAACATGTCTTCATACCAATTTTTGTATAGAATGAGAACTGATAGCTAGATAGTCTATGGGATGTAATGGTTTTGTCACTGTTTACAATAATTTACTTGTTACAGAGTCTGATGTTTCCAAATTTTGAGGAGGGTCGGTATGCTGTGGCAACAGATGGGACACTGAGGATTTCCCGGGTACAAATGGAGGATGCTGGGGACTATGAGTGTGAAGCTCTGAACACCCTGGGTATCATCACAGCCCTTGTCACTCTCACTGTCAGAGGTAAGACACCTTATGTACAAAGGGAGGTAACTCCTATTGAAATCGCCTCTTTTAGGTCACTTGGAGTAGAGTCTCACATTCCTGTTGGATTATAACTTTAATAATATTTAATTGTGATGTTTTGTAACTTAGATGTTTAAGTCAGTTTTTATGTAAATTAAATTCTTTATGCTCTGATTTACAAATGAACTAATTCTGTGTCTGCATGTTATTAGAGGTATAATTACAGTATGAATTTCAAAGTTTATATCAGAAGAGTTGGTATCATTGATCAAAACTTCATGAATATTGAATGGATTTATATTTTTCCGAATAATTCACTGTTTTGTGTTCAGAACGTGACCCTCGACCACCCCCCATCATACAGATCGGACCACAGAACCAGACCCTTCCAACAGATGAGGTTGGCTTCCTCCGCTGTGAGGCTACCGGGCTTCCATCACCTCGCATACAGTGGTTTAAAGATGTATATCCTGTAAAAAGTGACCCAAGAATTATGATGCTTAATTCTGGAACTCTTCAAATCTCTGGTAAGTAACTATTGTGAAAATTGTAATGTACACAAGATATACTAAAACTGTGTTAGATTTAATTGATATTATTTGCCCTGTTTGATTTCTCACTTTATTATTTTATTGTGTTGATATTCAATTTTTTTTTTTTTGCAGATTTGCGAGAATCTGATAGTGGAACATACACATGTAAGGCAACGAGCGAGACAGGGGAGACAACTTGGTCAGCTGTTCTCCAGGTTGAAGGTAGATACACTGACTGATCAATTAATCCTGTCATTTATCTATTTAATGTCACATTAATTCATAAAATTAAATTTATGTGATTTTAAATTAAATCAATCAATTTTGTTTTCAGCTCCATCTTCACACCAAACAATACCTTACCATCGATCCCCGGATACTTCCTCATATCCTGGAGTTCCAAGTCGACCTATTGTTACCGAGGTAACCAGTGACACTGCACACCTCTCCTGGATCGCTAATGCCAACCATGGAGACTCACAAGTGTTCGCCTACATTGTGGAATACTTCAGTTATGAAACAATGGATGTAAGTGTGCTGGGTTGATCCCAAACCATTATTCCAGTTTAATTAGTGTCTATATTTGGGTTTTTTTCCTGTGTTGCCATGGTAATATTTCCTCATATTGTCAGGGTTTAATTCATGTTATTTTTTCTGTTTGTTAGGGTTGGATGGTAGCATCAGACAAAGTCCAGCAGGAATCCTACACCATCACCGGCCTACAACCAGACACCAGCTACCTGTTTCTGGTTCGTGGAAAGAACTCCCACGGAATTGGTTTACCAAGCTCATTGTCAGACCCCATCCGCACCAGACGTGAGTTTCCTGGTCTCCTTTCATTTGTATCACTTTGTCGAAAACTTAAACTCAAAACAAGAAATAAGACAAAGAATTAATTTATAGATTTAATGACATAGATATGTTTGAATATATTTTTGATTTGATAAGTCAAGTCAGATTTATCCTGAAATTTTTATCAGTCCAGTAACTCTAATTTTGCATCTTGTAAGTAATCCTGTATTTTCTGTTATAGGCCTACCCAGAGGGGAGACTTCAGATGACAATTTCAGCGGGATTATAGTCCAGATGATGGAGGGAGTGCCCATTAACTCCAGTGCTATTCGTGTGACGTGGCGGGTAAGTACCGTATAACACTATCTAATTATATACTAATGATGCAGTTATGTATTTTAGAGAAATTAGTTGTATGTATCGATCTCATAAGTACGTATTTGACAATGGGCCGATCCGTTTCAATTGAAGATCAGTAAAATATTGACAAATTTTTTTTTTTTTTTTTTTTTTCAATTTCTATCATCATGTTTATCACACGATACATGTATACTTGATAAGACATATTCTTACTGAATTATAATTTTGTTCTCTTGGTTGCTCTTCAGGTCCTCAAGGAAGTCAACATGATTGATAAATTCATAGTTCAGTATACAGAGATTCTTGAGCTCCAACGATTATTCCGCGGCAAATCGTATCGACAGACAGTGGGTACAATGTACCGTGCCTTTACTCTAAGTCACTTGAAGAGTTCCACTTGGTATGAAGTTTGCGTAATGGCATATTACAATGGTAATTCACACACACCCTGCAGTACACCACTCAAGGTTCAGACATCCGAGTCGCGGCCCACAGCCCCACCCGAGGACATTATCATCCACAAAGAGAGTGACAGTAGTATACATATCCAGTGGCTTCCTCCACCCAAAAGTCACCGCAACGGGGAAATCCGTGGTTATGAGGTAAGTAGTATTTTGTATGAGATTTTTTGATAACGTTGGATTTTAATAGGAAAAAACATTGATGTAAAATTAAAAAAAATTATTGATGAGTGAATTGTTTGGTATATCGGTAATCACACACCAAAGGATTTATAAATTTTTATGTATAGTATAACGTGAGGAGAGTCAATCATGCATTCAAATCCCTTGAGATTATTTGTATGAAAATAACTTTTGATGACATCGATGCTGATTCAGTTATCAATAGTCACTGGATCTAATAGCCCATCATTCACGAATTATAAGTCATTTCTAGACCATCGTTTGTGAATTATAAGTCATTTCTAGACCATCGTTTGTGAATTATAAGTCATTTCTAGACCATCGTTTGTGAATTATAAGTCATTTCTAGACCATCGTTTGTGAAATTATGTATTTGTTATAAGTTTGAAGAGGTAAGTTTGGGAAATGAATTATTCGCAAAATCTAAGTGATTAAATAACAATATAATGATGTTGAGGTTGAGAATTGATAAATGTTAATTATTGGTCTAACGGTATCAGTAATTGTCAATATTTGTTTGTAGGTGGAATGTCTGAGCTCCGACAATAAACACAACTGTAGCATACGAGTAAACGGAACAACAAACCAAGCAACAATCAAACGGCTTGACGCTGACATGACGTACACAATCAAAGTGGCTGCACGTACCATCAAGGGAGCCGGAGTCTGGAGCAAGGCATTCATTGTTGGTAAGTTAGAATTATCAATTTATCATCAAAAGATATTTCTTAATGTAACAGAATTATCATCTCTTTGTATTGAACAACTTGAAGCTGTACAGGTAAACTAACTTTCTTTTGCATGCAATTTGTTTTTGTGAATTTCATGATGGAACAATTCTGCAAAATGGAATCATCACAAATTGTGATATATTACAATGCTTATCACAAACAGCTTGCAAACAAATTATGTACAAGTAATCTTTTATTTTATTGATGTATGTAAAAAATCATTCTGGTTATTCAAAATACATAAAATTGCAAATATCAAATGCATTTGGCTTGGGGCCTTCAAAGATTGTCTATGTACAGATTTAGGGTCTGATGTCATGGACAGTGAACTAAACAGTCTCCCCACTGATGTCTGTACACTTCAGTATTATAGAAAAGCCATTGAAAAATCATTGCTGCAATCTTGTTGTGATGTCAATTAGTAGAAAGTTGATAGTTAGTTAATTGTACATGTAGACCTTTTGGAGGGTGAAATATTATCGTTGGTTTGGGATATATGTATACAACTTTGATTGTAATATTCTTACATAATCTGCATGGGTTTCAGTATATAAATTTAAATAAATAATTGTCACTTCATTAACCATGAATTTGTAATCTATAGTGATATGTCATCTTCAACCTTCCTTATAAAGTTATAAAGCATGCAAATATTGCATGACATTTGAAAATAAAGAAGAGAACATTTAATTTTTTTCCAGTTGAATTTCTTGACCAAACTTAAGGACTTTTGGCCTTTAACCTCTTTGAAATAGGTCATGGGTCATTAAGTTTGCTGTATAAGGTCCCGATGTCTCCTTATATTAAAGATGAAGAATTTGCTGATGTATAGCGAGAAGCTGTGACAGTCATCAAGTCTGTGTTGTATTGAATATATTCGAGACATTGTGACCTTAATGAATGGCATCTGAAACATAATTAGATAAAAATGATTGGTTTTATTGGGTGAACTAGATACACAGGTTTTAGATAAATTCTGCTAAATGAGAACAAAAACATGTGACAATGTTTGATTAGATTAAAAACCACAAAGGTCAGGGCACCCAGAGTTCATAACACTCAGAGAAATGATTACCAAGGTTAAGAATCATCGGTTATCTAGAAACCAGGGTAAACATCATAACCATACACACAGCAATTTTTGTACACGATGTCGCCGTGACGATGGCTTGATAAATGATTATTTTTCTGGCCTCCCCAATTATCTTTGGCCTCTTTATAGAGGCGAGCATTGTTTGTGAATTAATACTGGTCCTCCCTAGTACAGCAGCCAGCCTCACTTTACACAGTACCATTATTAATGTCTAGTGCTGATGTGATTAAAATGCAGGTTTTGTGTCGGGATTCGGGACCACTATGACAGGATGTTGTTCATTAGCACTGCCAATAAACGCGCCAAACGGATGGGGGCTGAATATGAGGGAACAAAGCCATTTTATTACCCTTTAACCAGTATTGGGCCTTTAAGGATTTGGTTCAATATTGTTTTCGGTAAAAAAGCAATTTAAGTCATTCGCGTGAGGCGAAACCGTGGAAAACCAAAAGAGCATTCAAAATGAGTATCAGAGCAAACAAAGGATATTTCTCAAGCTGCTGTCAGGAGAGATGGACAGGAGACAAAAGAGATTTCTTTTGTTTGTAATTATAATGATAAATTTTACTTCATAAATGTTAGGATATCCTGACGATCTGGATGTGGATTTGATAAAACACTTCAATTAAGAAGATAGCCAAGTCGAATGTGAACGCATACCATTATAGGCACCACAATAGCCCCCAGTAGGGAAAATCCAGACCAAATTAACCTTTGTTGCAGACAAAATGAATGTGCTCTTATTCTTGAAACAGCTTTGAACCAAGGCCCTCCAAACGCACGGGTGATCCTGAATGATGAATGACAATCCAATGTGACTCTTGAATTGAATGAGCACTTAAAGTGAAAATTTGAGAAATATTTGGCATGCATACATGTCTGTGTAACTGTTTTACCATCCAGTCTGTATTCAAGCCATCAAACAGTGTCTGATCTTTATTTGTTAGAATCCTACCCAAATGAAATGATGGTTACATCAGAACCTTGTCGATCGTGTAACATAGAGATCTTCTCATGGCTACATACTAAACTAAGCCACATAATGAATTCAGTTATTGTATTCCTTAATAAAATGTTGTAAAAAATTAACTTTCTGTCAGGCATACAAAGATATGATTACGTTGATTTGGTGATATATTCAACAAATCTTTAAAAAAGATTTTCTAAATAAATGTTTTAGATAAGATTTAGAAAAAGTAAAAATAGTTTATGTATAGAGGAAGGGGCTATAATGAGATGTCTTAGTAAGGTATTTTGTTCAGGGACTATAATGAGAAGGTACTGTGTGTATTTTACAGGGCCAGAACAGCCGAGTATTATGAAGGAAACCTGGTTTATTGGAATGCTGATTGGAACTATTGGTGGGACCTTGTGGATTGCCCTGTGTATTTTTAGTGTGTGGCTTTGTCGTAAACGTTCCAATAAAAAGAAACTGATGAAGAATGGAATGTACAGTGGTGAGTAGAAATTTATTTATAGATCATTTACTTGTTCATTTGGGAGGCAGTTAGATGGTGGGTTAGGAGAAATTGATCTTCATGACTTTAAATATATAAGTTCATGTTTCCACAACTTACCGATTTTTACTCAACAAGTGAATAAACTTAATTTGTCTATTGTCTTGCAGTTCCGATGCACAAAACGGAGGACACGAAAACGTGTAACTCTTTTTATAGAAATGGTTACGGACAGAAGGATGTACACAATTGTGTTGGAGGTAAAGTTTGTTTTCTCATTTCTGTTTAAATACACTGTCCAAATAAAGATTTATTTGGAATGACATGAATTCTAATTCCATGTTTATATGCAGTAATCCAGCATCTGTTAATAAGCCCGGTCGTACCTATCTGCTCTTCTGTAAAACAAAAAATAAACTGTATTTCATTTTCTTGTATTAAACAGACCCCTTAGTATTAATCTGAAGTAAATGTTCCCAGCTCCCCTGGGACTGACTGTAGCATATACAGTATATATATAATACTTTATTTAAATATCTTGATAAATAACCTTTGAATGAGTTGTAGGAGTTTTTTTTATCGTGCTAATGACTTGATTTGTACAGGTATGGGTTCTCCATCCCCTGAGGCCTCTAACTTACTTGATCAGAAGGACATGGAGTTACAGGACCAGAATATCTATAACATCCCACAGATGAAGACCTTCTACCACAAGAAAGATCCTGTTGCACCCTATGCCACAACCACGTTAATAAATGCTGGACTAGTTAACGCGGGTAGCATGGGCCGACCAACACCCGGAATGGATCACATGTTCCGTCCAATCACAGGTACCAGTGGTGGGTCAGGCGATAGTTGCTGCAAACACGAGCATGGCAGTAGTGACTCAAACACGGACAACAGTCGGCCAAACACAGGTGAGCAGTCACTAATGAACTACTGACCAATCAGCTCGCCCACTACATTTAGCCGCAATTGTATACTTCAGTATCCTGGTCAAGCAAAGTCTCAGATTGTGTTCTGTACATCAGTTGATGGCTGTTCTTCTGAAATCTGTAAATCTGCATCTGTAACCAAAGCCGTTTATCTTATTTCAGCTGATGTCAGTCAATTAGAGACTTTGTTTGATATTGTTGAAGCGATTTAGCATATTATGCATTCTGACAGGTAGTCACGCTTACAGAAAGGATTAGAGGCGATTGTCTGCCTTGTATGGTAACATGTCAGTGCCAGTTTTATCCAGACAAAAGTGTCAAAAGTAGACTGAAATATCCTACCTCTACTAATGCTTATCATAACAAATCTAAATTTAACACAGATTTCAAAAAGTGGGGAAAAAGAAAAAAGTTCTGTTCTGTTTATAGAAATATGTTTACAAGTATTCTAAATTTGTTTGAGATGTTTAATTTTGAATCAGTTGTGCTTGAGACTATTATAATTAGATAATTGTCTCTCTTTCAAATATGTAGAAAATTGTTTACTCTATATTAATAGTTCGTAAGGTGGCAATCTACCATATTGATGGAAAAAAAATTGAAATATGATTGTCGTCAGTAGAAGATTAAATTGCAGATGAGAATTTTTTTTCGGATTCAATTGAAATGGAAAGTTAAAACTTTTATTTTAAAAGCAATGACAAGCTGATTCATTTGAGGTTAAACGATGAAAAATCTTAAAAAGATCAATTTCAGTCAGCTTCATCTGTTGATACAGAATGTGATGCTGTTGTCGGTAAACATTGAGATAAAACTGCTGCAGACATAGCCAGTGTATTGTGGTAGGGAATGCTGGTAGCAGTGTATATACTCTCAAGGTCACTAAGCACACACACAAACACACATTGATTCACTTATTTCTGTTCTGTTTTTATGGGTAATTAAACATCACCCAAACTGGAGAAAAATTAAGAATAATTTTTTTGAGATTTTAATGCTTCGAAATATTATACACAAAATATTCTGTTACCCTCCTTAAATCATAGAAAGTTATCTCCCTTAGATTTATTAATTCAATACATGAAACATTACACAATTTTCCCTTTATATAAATATGCACCATGCTTGCTATTTGGTGACTGGTTACTGACATTTCTATAGAAACCGGCCGCAATTGTCTCCCCTTAGGTATACCACATGACCACAGCGATGCCATGCAGAGTCCGACCAGTGACAGTGGCAGCCATACGACAGGTAAATACGGTAAATGTTTTTACTTATACTTTCCCACAATTTCAAAAAAATCTGTAAGTTATTTACGGTAGATATTCTCTACATTTGCTTTCCCATAATCATCACACATGTAATGATTTACCCATATCTCACTACTTTGCTCGAAAAGTATTTTGATAATCAAATCTGTTGATATATGAGCAAGAAGCAGCATCATAATCTATTTTATATACCTTCATTATCTATCACGCTAGAGTAGTTACACAGCATTTTAATTACATTTATATTACATAAAGAGATCTTTTAAAGTCACATGGCTAGTATGTTGATCACATGACCTGTATATATTTTGGTCACATGACTGTTATGTTTTGGTCACATGATTGGTATATTAATGTCAATTAACCAAGCTGTATTTTAGTCCTATGAGTTGTATATGGTTATATAACAATAATAAATATTTCACTCATTGTGCTCTGTAGATAAAAGTTATTTTGTCATCAACCTACAAAATATTTTTGATACTTCAGATGAAAATGGATTGCTAATCAAACGAGGGAAGAAATCTCAGAAACAGATGGCACAGCCCAAGCAGGCAATGGTGAACTGGGCTGAGTTTTTACCTCCACCTCCTGAACACCCCCCTCCCAATGAAGTGGCACACCCGGGCAATCTTGTCATGAATGAAAACCCGGGCAACAATTTAGAATATGCCGAAGTGAGCTCCGAAAGAGCCGGAGGGACAAGAAGTCCCATTTCTCCTATGTCTAAAATCTCCTCATGTTCTTGCCCAGTACCACATAATGGTACTCAGAACTGGAATGTGCCAGCTTACTCAGACAATGGCTGTGTGCGCTGTAGTTCTCCCAAATATTGTGAGAGTTGGCACTACAACCCAGCCCATTATAGTGTTATCCAACAGCGCACACAGTCCCCCCGAAATGCGGACACATGGGGGCAGAGGACAATCGCGTGCATGCACCCGTCATCACGGGGCACCCCTGTAGACATGCGATGTGCAAGAACATGTCACAGTGATCAGGAACAGGCGCCCATGCCTGTTTTACATAACTACAAGATAGCACCTGGCCCGAGGGATGCCGAGTGTTACCAGTGTATGAGTGACAGTGACCGAGGCTCGGGGGGCTATCACACCCTCAGGGGCTGCAGGATGAACAGTATTCACGGGGGTTCAGGATCTGATGGAGGGGGTGGTGGCACGGCAATGGACCGTGCCTGTCAATCCTCTCTACCCAGTGTAGCCAATGAGTGTATCCACCCTGCAATGTACCCTCCAAGGTGAGTGTTAACGGTAGAACATAACAGTTATCCTCCAATTCATGTTTATGTAGTGCAACTAAATTACTGCCTTTAGCTTAACGTATATTTTTTCATCTTTCCAAAAATAATTGGTACTTTTTCGCCAGATCTTTCAAAAAACTCACTCACTCCATTTTCACCCTAAGGTGAAATTTTCAAAATGAAGAGTATGTTATTATGTGTATTGAAAGATGAATAAAGATGGAAACTGGATATTGAGTGCTAATTATGCAATATTTATTTTGTTCTGTAGGTATGAAGTGACAGAAAATGGCCAGCATATGAGTTTAGCTATGGAAGGGTACAACAGGAATGCTGATTCACCCACTTCTGAGGGGGGTCTCGACTATGTCGGTGAGTCAGATGTGGAGGTCCCTACAGGGAGAATTCCCCCGGGCCATGAGTGTCAGTCACTCCCATCAGGTCACCAGTGTCAGTCCCCTCCCCAGGGCCATGAATGTCACAATGATGAGGGGGACGTTAATGTTGAGGACAGCTGTAATGACTCAGGTACCCGCCTGGTCGCTAGTAATAGTGTGGCTTTGGCTTGGCCTTGGAGTGTGCTTGACCTCAGAATTTAGCTTGACCTTGTGTTAGTTTGACCTTGGATTTACTCAGAGTGTAGTAATGAGTTATCTCCCTTGCCTACTATATCCTAGACAGAGCCTTTACTAACACTTCTAATGCTTGTATGTCTATATTGATCGGCCTTTTCTGCAGGGTTCCGTTGGTAGACATAGCTAAGTAGATAACCAGAAAATGTCCTTCATTCTCTGTTTGTAGCATGAGATCGAGCTTTTGTATTCATCACTTATTGTTCCTGTCTTTTGATTTTGAATCAATAATGATGTGAGAAATAAACGTTCTATGATTGTATAGAAGGTGGAGATGACTGAGTACTATGATTGTATAAAAGGTGGAGATGACTGAGTACTATGATTGTATAAAAGGTGGAGATGACTGAGTACTATGATTGTATAGAAGGTGGAGATGACTGAGTACTATGATTGTATAAAAGGTGGAGATGACTAAGTACTAGATTTAAGTAAGAAACTTCTAATTACTTTATTACAGAGTTAGTATATTGTATGTCTGTCTAGCACTATTTACAATTTCTTCATCTCAATATTCTAGGTCTAACCTCCTTGCTCACTGGAGGTATCTCCACATAAATTTGTCTGTTTCTGGAGTTTCCTCCCCTGATCAACATTTTGGAGCTAACATACTTACCTTCTAAATGTATCACTTAAGTTGGTTTGTTTCTGGAGTTACCTCCCCTGATCAACATTTCTGGAGTTAACATTATATCTCCTAAATGTATTTCCTCTTCAGCTGGTTTGTTTTTGGCGTCAACTCTCCTGATCAACATTTTCGAGCTAACATACTTACCTTCTAAATGTATCACTTAAGTTGGTTTGTTTCTGGAGTTACCTCCCCTTGATATTATAGTCCTTGCCTACAGGAGATTTACCATCTCAGCAGCTGTTTCTAAAGTTAATGCCCCAATAGCAATAATTTGGAGTTACCATCTTATGACAGAAGATCATTCATCCATCCAGTCGATTGTTTCTGGAATTATCTCCCCTTATCTAAATCCTGTGTGTCCTTGACCAACATTTGGCCCAAGTTATCCATTGTTTAAAGACCCTACAGAGAAGATATCACATTTGTTATTTATTACTTGTTCCTTGTTCGGTATTTCTCCTTGGTTTGCACCCTTGCGTTCCAAACACTTCAGACACACATATATGTATAGCTTACACAATATTTACTGGGTTTGCTTGGCTTAATGCATTAGATATATCTGTATCTATAAATATAAATATATATTGATGATATTTATACTCCTAGGATGGATTATATATATTTCATAAACCTTTATAGCATCTCATTTACATACAGCAATAGGCAAAACTGCACAAACAACTGCACTGTTCCAGAACTTGTAAAATTTGATCTCTGTAATGTATTGATCACTGATTAGTATAGATTATTGAACTGTGTTGATCACTGATAAGTATAGATTATTGAACTGTGTTGATCACTGATTAGTATAGATTATTGAACTGTATTGATCACTGATTAGTATAGATTATTGAACTGTGTTGATCACTGATTAGTATAGATTATTGAACTGTATTGATCACTGATCAGTATAGATTATTGAACTGTATTGATCACTGATCAGTATAGATTATTGAACTGTATTGATCACTGATCAGTATAGATTATTGAACTGTATTGATCACTGATCAGTATAGATTATTGAACTGTATTGATGACTGATCAGTATAGATTATTGAACTGTATTGATCACTGATTAGTATAGATTATTGAACTGTATTGATTGCCGATTCAAATTAATCGCTGTATTAATCTGTATGATCTTTGCTGTTGATCTGAGTAGATATTCAAAGTTCCTGCTGACTTAGCAGTAGTCATTGTATTTTAGCTGTTCTCGTTACATTAGGGAAATGTCCTTATATGGTATGATAGCATGAAATAGGCATCTTGTATATGTTAGGGTTTAGTAATATAGAAATGTTTGTAGTATTTGTACGAATATTCTACAACTTTAATAAGGACATTTTTAATTACAATTTTAATTAGGACATTTTACATCAAATCAATAAGGACATTTTTAATCACAATGTTAATTAGGAGAATTTTAATCACAACTTTAATAAGGACATTTGAAATCACAACTTTAATTAAGACATTTCAAATCACATGTTTTATTAGGACATTTTTATTCACAACTTTAATTACAACATTTTTAATCACAACTTTGATTATGACATTTTTAATCACAACTTCAAAAAGATAACTTTGAGTATATATGTATTGTTTAGAGGCATGATGAAAACTTTTGAACCATGTTTACAAATTCATAGGGATCTGGAGCTCCTGGCTATGCTTAGTCAGGGATCTCGACTTCCTTGTTGTAAGAGTCTGTAACCTTTTGAGTCAATTCATTGACCAGGGTGTTTGTGTTTTGTAGGGTCAATGTTAGCATCATGGGCCAGTGTTACTGACCAGAGTAACACAGATTGCAGTAGTGTGCGGTCTAGTGCAGCCAGCTCTAGTGATGGATCCTTCCTTACAGAGGCTGACTTTGCAAGTGCTGTAGCTAAAGCAGCAGAAATGTCAGGTCTCACTGTTGTTGGTACAACTGTCTGTGATCCGAAAACAGGAAAACCAGGTACAGGCTCATGTAGTGAATGTTCTCACAGTTAATATCACTCCACATTCTCATGGTTAATATCACTCCACATTCTCCCAGTTAATATCACTTCACATTCTCACACTTAATATCACTTCACATTCTCACAGTTAATATCACTCCAGATTCTCACAGTTAATGTCACTCCACATTCTCACAGTTAATATTACTCCACGTTCTCACAGTTAATATCACTCGACATTCTCACAGTTAATATCACTCGACATTCTCCCAATTAATATCACTTGACATTCTCAAAACTAATAACACTGCATATTCTCAAAACTAATATCCTCCACATTCTCACAATTAACATCACCTGACATTCTCACAACCAATATCACTCCACATTTTCAAAATCTCCCTCAGTATTTTTATAATTAATCTCACTCAATATTCTCAAGAAAATTATTTGTCAACACATCATTCATTTCCTTCTAGCTCAACTATAAAATATTTATACACATAGCTAAATTAAGGTTTGCCACACAGACATCTTCGAAACAAAATTTCTGTATTTATTGGACAAAGTCCATTCACAGTCATTTATGATGCCATCAGTTGATGTAACAATAAATGCACAGTGTTCTGTAATAAGCCCACCCCCTGATGACACATCCTTGACTGATTGGAGGATAAATATAGTAATAAAAAGACAGGTATTGAGCAAAGTATTTACAGACGTTTTTTAGAATAGGAGTGTACATAGCAGATAACAAATGTGTGTAACCAGATATATTATTGAGTTATGTGTCCTTTTCAGTGAAAAGACACCGGCGCCACCACAGGACTGCTCGTCCTAGTAGTCCATACAGTACTGACAGTAACTTCAGCGCAGTCGTACATAAACCCTACCCAAAGTCACAACGAAAGAAACAGCTGGTAGAACGGGGAAAGCGTGGGAGTGAGAGCAAAAAACATGACCCATCTCCTATTCCCGAGGGTCAGGTCACGCGACACGGCATACAAGAAGGTGAGAGATATCTCATTGGTAGATCTACGTGCGGTGGACTGAAATACTGTGTGGAAAAATACATATTTTTATCCCCAAAATTTCTGAAAATTTTGTTTTTTTATTTTAACCATAAACAATGCATGATAACAAAAGTTGTTAACATGTATTTTATTCCTTTGATAAATATTGAATTTCTGTGGTACAAAACCCTGACACCTGAGCTCTGTGCCTTGAATTGTAATTTGTTACTAGCTACTGCTTATCTTGTGTATCGTATGTACCTTTAAGTATGTTACTTTTTATTTGCTTAATATATTTTATTTTCTTCCTTTTATATGCTGCATGAATTATTATATGAGCTTTGTGATATATTAGTAGTCGCTTTTGATGGAAAAATCTGTATCAAATTTTCTTATTATGTTATTGGTTTGCTATCAACATGTTTACTGGGATAACTCATATAGCTGCTCTTTATATGCTTACCTACTTCAGTCTGAAGAGACATTTTGAAGAATGGAAATAAACATTTATCTGTATAAAGTACCAAACACAATTCAGAATTTCAAGAAGATATCAAATTTTGATCATACTGTTATAGCATCAGGACTATTTGGCCTCCAACATGAAAATTTAGTAAAAATTTCAAATTTGTGTACACAAATCTAAGTATATTATTGAATTCTAACTGTTAAAAAAACCAAAGGGTGCACACATAATATTTACAATAAAACAAAACAAAAGAAAATCATAATATAATCAAAAGTATGTGGATTTGAATAACATTTAGAAAGGTTACTGAAATAAAAAAGATTTATCTGCTTTGGTTACCATAGAAACAAGTCTGAAAAAGGAGTTCTCCTGTTACACCTAGTTTTCAGTTACCCTGCCTGCATGTGTATCTGGCTGAGTTAGATTGTGAATGTTTTCTGATTTTATTGTAGTGCCTGAACCCCCATCCTACCATAAGCCTAGCTTTCCTTCGCCTCTCCCCTATAAATCACCACGAACTGGGCACAAGTCCCTCTCACCGACCTCCTCTGTCCGATCGCCCCGTAGTCCTGGAAATCACAGTGCCCTTAACTTCGGGGCTCTGGTCATAGAGAGTAATGTAAGTCGTGTGATGTTCTCAGTGTCACTAATACCTGTCAATCAGACATCTATTTATAGCACAAGGTCATACATTTACTGTCATTCATACAGATCTATATAGTACAAGGTCAAACAATGGCTTTCATGCATACAAATCTATTTATAGTAACAAGCTAATTATTGACTGTCATTCACACAAATCTATTTATAGTAACAAGCTAATTATTGACTGTCATTCACACAAATCTATTTGTAGTAACAAGCCAATTATTGACTGTCATTCATACAAATCTATTTATAGTAACAAGCCAATTATTGACTGTCATTCACACAAATCTCTTAATAACACAAGGTCAAATATTAGCTATCATTCATAGAAATCTATTTATAGCACCAGGTCAAATTTAAGATACTATAACACCTGGCAGTCACACAGATCTGTTCAAGATATATGGATATAATAAGCATTAACTCTGCTCTGTGTATTTTAATTATTTAAGCGGACAACATTTTACCTATATGCTTGTTATTTTATTTTCGCTTTTTATTTATTTTACTTTCGCTGATCCTTGAATTCCAAGGATTTCATCGTGGATCTTTACGTCGTCTCTTCAGACTTTAGATGTGTCATGAAAAAACTGAAGTCACCATATCCATTACCTCACAAACGAGCTGTGTTAACTTATCTAAACATTATAATAGAGTTATTCTGTATATCCCCCATATGTTCATTAGAAAGATATAAGACCAGTGATTGGTCAATTTTCTAGGTTTGGAGCCAATGAAATTGATAACTCTGAATTAAGTTTTGTCATGACAATTTTTTTGTAGAGAAGATGCATATAAAAAAGTCAGATATTTGGTCATGCTGTATTCCAGTATTGAAAGTAACAAAAAGGTATTAGTTCATAGGTCTAATTCTATTTTTTTCTGATATTTACAGGTTCCTGTGGTGTAGCTAACGTTTGAGATAGTCAAGTTATTCTAGTCATCGGAGGTTGCCATGGTTATGCGAGCAAAGGTGTGTCTGTGATATAATTGAGTGTTGTTGCTGTTCTACAAAGGATCAAGAAATCCAATCGCATTTTCGAGGAATTATTAACACCTGAGAATGCGTGTGATGGACAGCCGTTGTTGATGTTACACGTTGGAGACTACAATTTTCGAAAGGTCATCCCAGACCTGTGTTTCTCCGTGACGAGTTTGATGGTGATGTACAATATGGCTGCCAACAAACAAAATGGCCATCAGTGTAATACTGTTCAAAGAAATCCAGTCTCCCTAGAACTGCTGTGTTACTTTAATCCACCAAATCTTCCATGCAAATTGTTTTGCTAAATTAAGCCACTTTAACTGTGATGCGATTTAGTCCTAGTGCAGAGAACATTGTCTGGCTTTAATTATCGTTAGTTGTTTGTGATATGCCAAAGACTTGACTGTGGTCAGCCAAATGTCTGACAATCTGACCAGTAGACTGACCAGGTTTGGTCAGCAGTCCAATAGCTAAACCACTGTTGGTTAGTTAATTTCTAGTGAAGAGGAAGAAATGTGCGACGCCTCACAATTGTCTTCCCTCAAAAGACTTGTTTGAGTGAAACGGGAAACTCCTGTTGCCATAGTGATGAATATGTGTTACTATGTGAGCAATACAGAAAAAAAATAGACTCTTGGTTGCTGAGAAAAAAATAGCTAATATATCTGATTGGCCTCTAAAGAGGTTTGGAACTACCTCTGGTTTGTTGGTCTCATGGTGAGTCCATTTGGTCCACCCATTGATTCCTGGTTGGTCCAGGTTGATCCTGTTCATCCTAAGGCTTGTTAAGTATAGAGGGCCCTTTCTGAGGATGGTCCATTGTGGTCAGTCCCATTAATTCTGAGGCTTGACCCATTAATTCTGAGACTGGTCCCATTCATTCTGAAACTAGAGTCGTTAATTCTGAGCTTGGTCCAATTAGTTTTGAAACTAGACTCAAGTGATTTTGAGGCTGGTCCTATGTGATTCCAATCTTGAAGTGCAAGCAATATGTGAATGTAACTGAACAATGAAGACATTAGAGACAAATTAATCATGTTCTGTTACTGTGGTGACAATATAATTTATCAGAAGATCATGTGATATTAGCCAGTCACAGTGGGTTGTTTCAGGTCATCTCATTCCTCAGTAGGGGTGTTCTTGGTGATCAGTGTACTGCCAAATTGAGTTAGGAGTATGTATGTGTTCCTCCCTGTAGTTAATGTACTTGTTAGCTGACAATGGCGAACCCTTTCATTCGTCGGACAGCAAGTGGGATCTATGTGTATCATCTAATATTGTGTTGAGCAACAGCCATTAAAATCATTTACTGGCCAAAGTTCTAGAATTTATTGGAAAAAGTACATTGATTATTTAATATTTGCATAATATATGTGTATATATAAATACATACATATATATAATATACATTTACTTTCTTTAGCCTGTTAATCTCTCAAAAGATATTGGAACGTTCCATTGACTTTAGGAGTGTTCCAATGTTTTTGTAGGGGGAAGTGTTTAGTGGTTATTTGTTAGAATGTTACTCTAGATAATGTAACGTCAGGATTTCAATTGTCTCGTAATTTTTATAACTATTCACTATTTAAAATAGTTTGAAGATAAACTTACCTTTCTTTCTACGAAGGAATAAAAATAAGTTTTAAAAACGTAAGAAAGGTTCCCTCCATTTGCCCAGGTCTCTGATAGCTGTAGATTAGGTGTATCAAACCAAAATGAAAGGCAGGCAAAGATGGAGAGAGAAAGAGACAGCCAGACAGAGAGAGAGAGAGACTGACAGAGAGAGAGAAGGAGAGAAGAAAGGAGAGAGAAAAGCTTGTAGAATGAAATAGAAAGCAAGCGAGAATTTAAAATGGTGCTTTATGAAGACTAGCGATACATATTAGTGCATTTGCTGTCATTTTGGGCTTTAATTAATGTTACCATGGTAACCGTTTCAAACTCATTCCATTCAAGGCAATATACACTTTAAAAATATAGAGGAGTTGTTTGAAGGGATAATTTGTGTTCCTTCTGTTGGCCAAAGGGAGATAACTCCCATCAGACCTGTATCATTGTACAAAATACCCCTCAGCAATAAACATGTTAAGATTCCAGCCATTTATATGTATTGAGGTTAGTCAAAATATAGAAGATTAATTTATTTATGGATAAACTGTACATAGTCATTTGTTATTGTATAAACCAAACAACCATGTCCTCAGTTTCAGATTTTGACTGCACATTCTTGAATAGAACAGATGAATAGCTTAACCTGTCTCCCCTACAATATCTAATTGAACAGGCCAGTTTACCACTTCAGTCATTTGAAAAAAAAAGAAAATCTTGTAAAATTCCAAACAACAAATCTGTAAATCTATCCTTCAGTCAGACATGAAAATATTTTATCGGGAATCAACATCTAGTTTTTTATAGGGTAGGTTGAGAAATTTCAAATGAATTTGAATACTTGGCTTATAAGTGGTTTCAATAATCATCATATTTATCCTCAAATAAGCTCCCTTCTCTAGTTAATACATGTGTTATTTATCAAAGTTTGGGACGGCTCATTTGTGAACTTCTTTAAGCCTACTATTTTGAAATTGATAATTTTGCTAAATTTAAGAAGTGGGTTTATTTGCAGATAAATATGGCAGTTTCCTGGTAGTAAAATATGTTGTATGTATGATGGTTATAAGCTCAGACGTTTTGAGAGGACGAAAAAGATCTACATATGTATATGCTTCCACTTACGTGCAATATTTCGTTTTGCTCAACGTAACTTTTGTTCAGTTCTTGACTAGGATCGTTTAATTTATTATCAGTAGAGTAGAAATTCTGTCACTGGTTTTTTCCCTGCAATCTTTAGGTGACTTTAAATGTCACATAGGCCAAACATGTAACAGATTGATTAACCACTGGAATCCTTACCCTATGATGTCTACATGCTGTATAATCAATTTCGATATTAACCACATACCAATCCAAATTTAATACCAAGTTCAGGGTTGTCTGTATGTTAGAGGAAAAAATGAATTTTGTTTGTTTGTCCTTTTTATTTTGTTTTGTTTTTGTTCTGTTGAAAATGTGACGTGTAAAAGTTAAGTCCCCAAGTTAGCAATTTTGTGTAAATCTGTATCTTAAGGACATTTGTAAGTATAGTATATTACTGGACACATTTAGTGCTCCTCTGCGATGAAGATCTGTGGTTAAGTTGTTACTAGGTACAGAATTTACAATTCTCTCATGGTCATTCATGTCATTATCATGTCAGTTTCTCATCAAATAAAATAAATATTGCTAAATCTGTATTATTTTGTTGTATTTCTGTGCATCGTTTTGCCATGATGACAACTTTAGCCTTTGACTGCTGGACATATTGCTATTACAGAACATTAACGTTTTATCTCTTAATATAAACAAGAGGGACATATGGCCAGTAACGGTCAACTGACTATCAACAAATGGATGGACATACCACAGAATTTGCTGATGGTTGACAAATCTCATGAATTTGTGGAAAATATTGAAATTTTTTTTAAAGAAAAGAAAGAGAAATTTTGAACATTCCTTGAAAGTATCAGAAAATCTGTGGTATGTTCTGTGCATGAAAACAGTTCAATCATCAAGTTACAGAATATACCACAGAGTTTTTGTTACTTTTAAGGAATGTTTAAAATTTCTTTCTTTTCTTTAAAAAAAAAAATTTCAATATTTTACACAATGGTGTGATTGAAACAAATTCATACTGTTTGTTCTATGTTGGATTTTGGACCAAAGTGTAACAACAAGATTTGGTCAGGACAATCTTAGGATCATTTCATTCATGTTCGATATCATTGCCACTCCCTGATAAAGTTTCAGGTCAAATTTGGCTGAAATCTACAAACTTCCCCTTTTGAAGCCTTGCTCCCAAAGTCCATTGGGTTTAATCAATTTTATGAATTTAAGAAAAGATAAAGATAACTAATCTACAATAAAGTTTCACACCAAATTTGGTTGAAATCCACACAGACATTAAGAGGAGTAACATTTTGAAGCAAACTATTGTCCAATTTTCCCTTTTGGGGCCCCACCCCAAACTCCCAAGGGGTTGAATCAACTTTCTGAATTTGGGAAAATCATAGCACAACTGCAATAATATTTCACACCAAATTTGGTTGAAATCCACCCAGGCATTAAAAAAGAGTAACATTTTGAAACAAAATGTCTAATTTCCCCTTTTGGGGCCCCACCCCGAAGTCCCTAGGGGTTAAATCAACTTTCTGTAATTAAGAATCATTTGTTAACCACTCCTGATGTTACAGACAGAAAAAATGAATGCAATCCATTCAAGCATTAAGGAGGAGTATATTGAAATGGTAAAAATGAGCCAACATGTCAAGAGGGAAAATAGTGCTTAATGTTTCAGTGATAAATTAAGGAATACCAAGTTTTAAAGAGATGGGTAGAAAACTGAAAGAAATCTCTTGGCAAGATTAAAATGCTGACAAGAGCAAAGGGCAAGAACTTTTTGGGATATTGTTAAATCAAAATGCTATTCCTTCAAACACAATATCATGTGATTTTCAAACCTACCAAGTTTCAAAGAAATTTGGAGGAGAAATCTGGATTAGATAAAGATGTGAAAGAAACACAGGACAGCAACTATTTTCAAAATTGTAAAATCACAATGTGATTAAGTTTTAGAGAAATTGATGAAAAACAGGAAGGAGATCTCCATACAAAAAATTAAAATCATAAATATAAAGGACAATAATAATGTCATGGTGATTTCAGACTGCCAAGTTTAGAATTGATTAAAATTCTTCCAAACAGAGTAGAGTCAAACTGTTCTTCTGAAAAACACAGCTACATGTCATGGTGATGAAGCCTACAAAGTTTGAAAGAAATCAATTGAGAAATGAGAGATTTCCAGACAAGTTTAACAATACATTTACAATAAAGGGCAGTAACTCTGCCAAATGCAATCCATTCGGGAATACAACTTCATGTCAGGCTGATAAAGCCAACATAGCTTTGAAAGAAGTTGGTTGAAAACTGTGGAAGATCTCTGTAGAAGATTAATATTATAATAAAAACAAATAAGTCTTCCAAACAAAGTTGAATCAAGCTTCCATTCAGAAAATGCCAAGTTCATGCCTATTACATTTGAAAAAAAATTGGTTGAAAACTAGGGGAGGAGATCCCTGGATAAATGAAAGTTTACAACTGAAGGATGAACTATGACAAACCACAATGTGTCCGACAATGTACCCATCAAAATGGTATAATTACCAATTTGTTCCATAAGCGTACTGACATCAGAGAAGTTCCAAGACATTGGGACAATGATCCTGTATTGCCTGCCTACTTTACAGTGCTATATCTCACATCAGGAGTACTGGGAAATTATCTATTTTCAGAGCGGAATTATTTTTTGCGGATTTTATGGTTGGTCTTAACCCTTGATTCTATTTAGGTGAAGAGATACCTTCATATGCTAGAGGTAAGCAATGTACAGGGATTCCTATGAACATTGGTTGTAGAGTGCTTAAACTTCATCCATATTTACAAAGGATATCAAATATAACAGACAACATGATCAAACACAGACAGCTGATATGTCTTTACATAGTTACATTTATATTTCATGACGATATCAAATAGATGAATATAAATTCACTACATATTTAGCATGTTTTATAGTGTAAGGGGGATAACTCTTACTGCGTCCTCTACTGAGCTCTACAGTGTAAGGGGGATAACTCTTACTGCGTTCTCTACTGATCTGGACAGTGTAAGGGAGACAACTCTTACTGTCCTCTACAATTTGCCCATTCGAATATTGATTTGAAAACATGAAGAAGCCATTCTACTGGACAGATTTCTTTAATATAAATTGTGATCCATATACATTGTAGTTATCATAAAACCTCAAAATAAGCTTCAAAATATAATCACAGATTAACAATGATAATAGGTTTTTATAAAATCCCAAAGAGGGATATCGAGGACGGAATTAAAACACCTGAGGAGTGTTTTTTTCAAATACAAGGAATGTAATACATGTAGTTATGGATGGACTCAACACATTTATTTAGGGCAGTATACGTAGAAACAGAATCTCTTCCCTCTTCTCTATTTTCATTCAAAGTTTTAGAAAAAATTGAAATTGAAATACCAGAACACAAAATATTTTGGGTCTTTGTCTATGTATGAATTTTTACAAATTAAAGTTAGATCTCAAATTTTTCATGCTATGAATATAATAAGTTAATCAGTGACATTATGATATTGCCTTTTCTACACATGACTATATTATTTTTGATACCAAGGAACCATAGGCTCAGACCGTTGTACAGATTCAGGGATCAGAGGAGAGATTCTCTTCCAATTGGGTGCAAAGTTGAAAACTCTGCATTCATATATTCTCTTGTCTTTCAGTATGGAAAATTTGACATACAATGAAAATTTTCACAAGGCACTTCAAAATAATGATTGGACCTTGTTTCTTGAAGGTTTCTTAATTTCAGATATTATGTAAACATAAAAAGTATGTACCTTAAGGAAGCTGTGATAAAATCTTTGAAGGAAAATAGTAATTTAGCAAAAACATATACCCAATGAGAACCATATAACATTGTGTAGTAAATTATCATAAATACATTTAAGAATATTGTAAATGTAAAATTGATGCTAAACAATAATAATGACTTATCATTTACGGATGAACACTCAAAAAACATCTGGTTTTATAGACATAGACCACAGAAAATAAATATTGTGTCAACATCCATCTGGAAGAAAAACAGTACATCTTGTATCAACATGTATCTGGATCCGAAATTAAAAAAACTAGTCAGCTATTCAAGTCATAATAACAATTTTCACCCACACATGTCAGAAAAATTTTGGTGAAAACCTGGTAAACATTAAATTTTTGTCAGTTTTGGTGAAATTTTATTATAACAAAATAACGAAAAAAAAAAAAAAAAAATCACAAAAATTTACAAATTTAAAACCAGCATAGTTTACATAGAAGTTGATTAGAATCTTATAGTCTAAAAACGACATTTGAAAGTGCTGAACACAACAATACTGTACCATGGAACAAAGTAACGCTGTGAAATCAGTAAATAATGGTTTCTGTGTGAATAGCATCACATCACAAATCTAAACAGTCTCATCAACACACTATATTCACCTACCAACGATGTCTCATTGTTATAACCCTACCCTTAGCTTCCAGTTGGAGGTATATATGCTGTCTGGACTTGTGGTAGGATAACTGTATGTAAACCAGCTTATAATATCTATATTTCTGACCAGAAAGTGATGAGAAGTGTGTTAAAATTAAAAAAAAAAATTCATCTGCTAAAAAATAATGAAATAGTTTAGGGTAAAAATGTTTGATATAAAATGTGGCATAGTTATCAATTTTTCAACTATCAAAATACAGTCTTTTTTTTTTTTTTCTTTTTTCTCCACTTTCCAGTAAATGTTTGCGGACAGTGATGAAATCCTGTTAGTTAACTCAGTGGAAGAGATAGTAAAAGCTGAAAACTTCACAGACAGTATCGATTAGATGGGTGGGAATAACAAAACTTTTTATGACATAATACCACACACATACATATGTATATACAGAGAATCTCTGATATAATTCATAAAAATTGTAATATGATTCATATTAACATTATCCACAACAACTTGCTGTAGTGTGAAGCAAACCTAATGTTAACTTTAAAAACAAACTTGCGGAGCATTGCATATTAAATAAATAATTAGCGATTATGGTGAAATAAAATACTTTAGTGGTGCTCAAATTTCATGATTAAAAGTAAGTAAGTAACAATCCCAAAATTAGCTGATATTTGTGAAAAAATTGTCATCATTTAACAATTTATCGAAATCAACAAAAATCAAACCATTATATATACATATGTACAGTGTATGACCATACAGTGTAAACTCCAGGTAGATTTGCCTGGTAATATTTACAGCAAAGTATTGGCTGTTGTTATCAGACTGACTGGTGTCTGATAACTCCACATCCTGTGACCTTTTTATAGTTCACAGAAAACACATGAGAAGTTAGATATATGGCACAGTGGACGGAACACAGTATCACACATTATTGGTCCCACCAGCTAGTCAGTATAATAAGCTCAAATTATGACAAACATTTGTAAAATGTGGTTTGTTCGTCTGTCAATAACTGATAGAAAAAAGACATCAATTACCCCTCAATATTAAATAATTTCTCAAAATATTAAAAAAAACCCAATAAGGTGCAAGTGTTGAACAAAATTCAGAGGACTTAATACGTAAACGCTTGTTCATCCTTTGACAGATAGTTGACTGGATTCAGGTTAATTTAGTCAAATAAATCTTGATATTTTCAACACATAACAACAATCACGATTTTCATAGAAGTCTATTTTCATCTTCAGTATAACGTAAATAGACATCATAATATTAATAAAGATCTTGAGAAGTCAAGCTTCTCTTTTTCAAGGCAAATATTTCAGCTTAAACTCATAACATAACAATACAAAAATTAAAAAGTAGGTGGATTTCATGAGATATTTAATTATTCTGGTACTCCTACAAACTGTTATAGTTAGGTTCAGAAATCCTGACGGTTGGAATGTTATAGAAAAAACTTTCAACTGACTGTTTATTTACCTATATAACAAACCATGAAAATAACAAATAATAGCACGATTGTTTTAAAAATCAACAAATCAACAAACATGATGATTATACACACAAACAATATCATACACAAACCTGTATGTGACTGATTCTAGTCAAAATCTACAATTATACACACAGACATCACACAGGAGCCTGTGTTAAATCTAATCTGGTCAAATGCTTTTTTATATTTCATAAATAGTGTTGTACAGTATCTCACAGGATCTATACAAAGGAAAGGAATGTTATGTCCAGATCCTGTGATTATGACCACCTGAGTGCTCTCCCTTGTCCCAGAGGGTGGTTAGTGAACATTGACTGTAGAAGGGATTTGCATATACATGTACAAGTAACAAAACCGGGAGAATCACAACACTATATTAAGTAACAGTTGTTCCCAATGAGGTGTAAAAAGAAGGAACGAAACGATTAAAAAATGAACACTTAATTTATATTAAGGAACCTACACAACTTTATATTTCAAATAAATGTTATCCTCATGATTCTGATGATTTTCATCTTAAGGAATTGGTAACAAGTTAAGCTGAAACATATGTAACAAGTTTTATCTTTGTTGTATGAAATGTAAAGAATTTTAAGCCTTTGTTGTTTTTAATTTTTTTCTTTGATGAGATTGCAGAATTTATTTTACGGCATTATTGATACTGTCTTGGTTTAACACGTCATCAATGGTTTTCATTTCAGTGTCACCAACTCCACTGATTTTTTCAGGTCAACTTGTTATTTTCCATATAATGGGTCTTAAAAATGAATGAACTATAATAGTATCAACTTTTTCTCGTCTTTTTTTACGAGTAATATTAATAATAACAGAAAAATATAAACTATTCTACTCACGAGAACAATATTTTCATCCTTGCATACTCAAGAAAATAAAGTATAACTACCATCACAATAGTTACCATGGTTACAGAGCCAACAAACTACACAACTATTGAACATTTTTGACCCTTTCACAGCTTTTTAACACATATTAATTTCTTTGAACTAAAATCTGAAGTTCATAACTTTTTATAAAAGGCACATAAATGTAATTGCAAATGCTAGCAGGCAGAGTTACCTCAGAGGAAATTACCACTCAAGTGATTGTAATTTTTTAAACTTTTCTCAAATTATTTTTTGATAATGATGTAGAAAAATTGCACATGGTTTTCCGCAGCTGCATAGCTAACTACCTACTTCACACACATTTCAACTAGATATGGAGCAAAATGACTTTATTTTTCCATAACTGGAACATTTAGATATTAGTTATCATTATGAGATGTGGATCACTGATGATGCTACAGCAAAAAAAAAAAAAATATAAAAAAACAACTTGTAAACAATACACCCCATGTTTAGCATTGACACACACTGGCTTATCAATGACTGGAGTTGAAAAGAAATTTTAAAAAGCTTAATAAATATACAGCAGTGCTAGTGAATGAACTGGTTCAGTGCTGATTACTTATTTACAATAAATGGTATTTATTGGTCAAATCAGGGGCAGATTACTCTGAATTACTAAAACTTTTGTAGGTTAGGAAAGGTAACTCCAGACATGATAAGCTATTTTGTAAGGGTAGATAAATTTACATCCAGAAATGATTTTCTTAGATGTTTAGAACAGTTTTTGATGGTCTTGATTATCTTTATGGTCTGTAGCCTGGGTACATAGGTGGTGCTGAGGGTTGAGCAACAGTATCAAGCTCAAAACCCTTGTTCGTCCCATTCATCTGAGAAAAAAAAAGACAATTACTTCATCATTGTTGCTATTAAACAAACTATCACAGTATCTTAATTCAATTTTTCAACATATGCAGATTTTGATTACATACTTGTGTGGATTCATCGTAGGATGGAGGCAGTATGTCACTGTCACCGTCCATGCGAGATTTTGAGGTATTAGAGGTAACAAAGAGTGAGGTGAGATCTGGACCAGTAGATGATGAAGCTTCTGATGTCACAATATATCTCTCTCCGTCTCCGCCAAAGCTCTCACCATCCCCAGTCGCCTGGATCTATCAAATAATCATCAGTTAACAAAACTAGTGATTTTTTTCTTTTTTGTTTTTACTACCAACAAAAATATGACTTTCCATAAAACCGTCTAGAAATAGCAGGAATCTGACGCCTATAATCAAGTGCTTTGATTGTAAATAAATTAAATTCATTGGTCTATTTTTCTTTAAACATTTTTTTCACTTTCAAATCATTAATAATTATTAAAAGCTTTACCGTTCCTAAACAATTTATTCAATAAAAATAAAGTGAGCCGGAACTCATATAGACAAAGCCCCACTTCTCGATCAAAATTGTTAGGGATGACCTTTTGACCTTTAACCTATACTGTCAAAATCTTGTAAGGTGTACGACTTGGTGGTATGATGCTACAGTGTGAACATGAATGAAATATCTGCTTAGGTGTTCATAAGATAACTTGTACACATGGTTACAACAAATGCATTAACGGATGCACAAATTGATCACTATATACCCCCACAACCCCTTTAATTGATCCCCCACCCCCCTGTGCTCTATGTCAGTAGGATGAGTGATCTGGAAAAGCGACTTCAAAGTTCTTATTTCATGTTATTCTTTTTTTCACAGAACCTTCTCAACAAAACAATCAAATAAAACCACAGGAGCTTTCCTCCAGACATCTACAGAAAAATAAAATGGTTTGGACATGGCTGTTACCTGACTGGTTCTGATTGTGTAGGGAAAGTTTCCGTGAGCTGCATTAGGTCGGGTCAGTACCTAAAATATAAAGGTCAAGGTCATTACTATAAAAAAACTATATTAAATAATACTGAATGTATAATGGGCGCTCAGATACAGAGATATTGCAAGAGAGAGCAACAAGGTATATGGACAAAAATGAGAACAAAGGCACTATGTGTAACAGCTCCTGCAAATCTTTTCTAAAATCAAAAGGTAATGACAATAAAAAATAAGTTTTTGAACTCACCAAGAAGAATATGTGACCACAGAATTGGACAAAGTTCTGTACAGCGACAACTGTTTTCTCTCGTGTCCACACTGCCATGGCGAACATTGCAATCAGGATGACAATTGGACCAGCCCAGAACCTGAATACAATAAAAATATTTTACATTTGAACCTGCCCAGAACCTGAATACAATAAAAAATATTTTACATTTGAACCTGCCCAGAACCTGAATAAAATAAAAATATTTTACTTTTGAACCAGACCAGAACCTGAATAAAATAAAAAAATATATTACTTTTGAACCAGCCCAGAACCTAAATAAAATAAAGAAATATTTTACTTTTGAACCTGCCCAGAACCTGAATACAATAAAAATATTTTACTTTTGAACCTGCCCAGAACCTGAATACAATAAAAATATTTTACTTTTGAACCAGCCCAGAATCTGAATATAATAAAAATATTTTACTTTTGAACCTGCCCAGAACCTGAATACAATAAAAATATTTTACTTTTGAACCAGCCCAGAACCTGAATAAAATAAAAATATTTTACTTTTGAACCAGCCCAGAACCTGAATAAAATAAAGAAATATTTTACTTTTGAACCAGCCCAGAACCTAAATAAAATAAAGAAATATTTTACTTTTGAACCTGCCCAGAACCTGAATACAATAAAAATATTTTACTTTTGAACCTGCCCAGAACCTGAATACAATAAAAATATTTTACATTTGAATCAGCCCAGAACCTGAATAAAATAAAGAAATATTTTACTTTTGAACCAGCCCAGAACCTAAATAAAATAAAGAAATATTTTACTTTTGAACCTGCCCAGAACCTGAATACAATAAAAATATTTTACTTTTGAACCTGCCCAGAACCTGAATACAATAAAAATATTTTACTTTTGAACCTGCCCAGAACCTGAATACAATAAAAATATTTTACATTTGAATCAGCCCAGAACCTGAATACAATAAAAATATTTTACTTTTGAACCAGCCCAGAACCTGAATACAATAAAAATATTTTACATTTGAACCTGCCCAGAACCTGAATACAATAAAAAATATTTTACATTTGAACCTGCCCAGAACCTGAATACAATAAAAATATTTTACTTTTGAACCTGCCCAGAACCTGAATACAATAAAAATATTTTACTTTTGAACCTGCCCAGAACCTGAATACAATAAAAATATTTTACTTTTGAACCTGCCCAGAACCTGAATAAAATAAAAAAATATTTTACTTTTGAACTTGCCCAGAACCTGAATACAATAAAAATATATTTTACTTTTGAACCTGCCCAGAACCTGAATACAATAAAAATATTTTACTTTTGAACCTGCCCAGAACCTGAATACAATAAAAATATTTTACTTTTGAACCTGCCCAGAACCTGAATAAAATAAAAAAAATATTTTACTTTTGAACCAGCCCAGAATCTGAATATAATAAAAATATTTTACTTTTGAACCTGCCCAGAACCTGAATACAATAAAAATATTTTACTTTTGAACCAGCCCAGAACCTGAATAAAATAAAAATATTTTACTTTTGAACCAGCCCAGAACCTGAATAAAATAAAGAAATATTTTACTTTTGAACCAGCCCAGAACCTAAATAAAATAAAGAAATATTTTACTTTTGAACCTGCCCAGAACCTGAATACAATAAAAATATTTTACTTTTGAACCTGCCCAGAACCTGAATACAATAAAAATATTTTACTTTTGAACCTGCCCAGAACCTGAATACAATAAAAATATTTTACTTTTGAACCAGCCCAGAACCTGAATACAATAAAAATATTTTACTTTTGAACCAGCCCAGAACCTGAATACAATAAAAATATATTTTACTTTTGAACCTGCCCAGAACCTGAATACAATCAAAATATTTTACTTTTGAACCTGCCCAGAACCTGAATACAATAAAAATATTTTACTTTTGAACCTGCCCAGAACCTGAATAAAATAAAAAAATATTTTACTTTTGAACCTGCCCAGAACCTGAATACAATAAAAATATTTTACTTTTGAACCTGCCCAGAACCTGAATAAAATAAAAAAATATTTTACTTTTGAACTTGCCCAGAACCTGAATACAATAAAAATATATTTTACTTTTGAACCTGCCCAGAACCTGAATACAATCAAAATATTTTACTTTTGAACCTGCCCAGAACCTGAATACAATAAAAATATTTTACTTTTGAACCTGCCCAGAACCTGAATAAAATAAAAATATTTTACTTTTGAACCAGACCAGAACCTGAATACAATAAAAATATTTTACTTTTGAACCTGCCCAGAACCTGAATAAAATAAAAAAAATATTTTACTTTTGAACTTGCCCAGAACCTGAATACAATAAAAATATATTTTACTTTTGAACCTGCCCAGAACCTGAATACAATAAAAACAATTTAATCCTGAATTAGCTCCAAACCTCAATACAATCTCAAATACACTTCTCTATTGCACCAACCCAATATCTAAAAACAGTCAAACATTAAAATAAGGGACAATGCCTAAGAAAAAGTCACAGCACTACATTACCATGTGGTTTTAGAAAGTGATAACTCTAAATTTATCCCTCCCACAAAAAAAAAAAAAAAAGAAAAAAGACACCCTGAATGTTACATCCCCAAAAACATTATTGGTCATTTTCTCAAACAAAACAAACAAAGAAGTACAATGATTGCTTTTTTTGCTCTGTACCTGGATCATGTTTTGAAATAACTCACCAAAGAATGTGATGTTCAAGTAATGTTCCACTTGAGCATGTTTCAGTGAAATTTCTCCCTTTCATTTAGAAATTAGTCAAACACTTTTTTTCAAAATGAATATAAAACAGACATATGTACTTTTAAACATGCAATAACTGTTATGATTTATAGGGAAAAGTTCTTGTAACACGACCAGTAGAAGATTAGAGTGTGACATTTCGATGACTATATGGTCACCTTCAGCAGACAAATGACCAGTGTGGAACGAACTAGCACTACCATCTCATCACAATAGTTACGACATTAGTGTACATAGGATTATAGTACAGCCAAAAAGTTGGTCGTTTCTGTATCACCTTGTACACTATGTATGTCAGTGCTTGTATGTTCTTCTACTGGTTGTGTTACAAGAACTTCTATTGTATTGCCATTACCAACCTGACATAAAATTCCCAAATAAAATTATGATTTAGTAAATGACATGTGGGTGGGGTCAGCTTATTGCAGGACAATGAGATAGCATTCATTGGTTGCTCTGCTGATGTGGTGGGCTTATCATCAGACATGGGCTTATTGTTGGATAAATAGAGTATACCAATCACAGCCAGTGTAAGTTGATATTTATACTAACCACAGTGTGTAAAGGAAGAAGAATGGATAGTAGAACCCTCCGCGTCGTGGAAAACGCTTCAGTGTAAAAAAAATGCTGTAACAAAACCAGGCCCAAGCCAGGAGTCGGAGGGTGATGAGTCCATACCCAGGGACACTCTCGTAGATATACAGAACCAGGGCTGGATCAAATGTCTGAAATAGGTCATATATATAAAACATACAGTATCAGGGCCAGATCAAATTTCTAAAAAAAGGTCGAACATAAAACATATACATCATTAGGGACGGGTCAAATTTCTAAAAGAAGTCACACATGACAGATATCCAGTATCAGGGCCAGATCAAGAGTGTGTCAAACATCTACAAACAATAACACTTACTTCTGCCTCAACAATGAACAGTGCAGCGTAGGCCACAACGTACACTGTGAAAAACACTGAGAGTTTGACGGTACTGTGACAAGGAAGACGACCCCGGGTAATTGTATAACCCTTTGCCAGAAGGTTCAACATGAGCAGGAAGAATATCTCACCGGCTGCACAAAACACTCGACCTGTCAGAGAAACAAAAATTTAACAGAGCGTGTAATTATTTCAATTCTCATCAAACAAACTCTGACAGTGAAATGGTATACGGTGTATGATTTTAACAATTTTTGTATGAAATGTTAACCACGTCAGGTACAGTGTAAAAAATAAGTCTAACTTACAGCAGGTTGGCATCTTGTTATCCTTATATTTGTAATAGAAAATGAAAATTAATGCCAAATGTTTTCTATTTTGCTTAAATATTATTTAAGTTTTAGGCCATTTGTTTCTGTGCTGTAATACAGTTTAGTTCTCTCCCCATTATGATTGGAAGAATTGTTTTCAGTAGATTAACAAAATAGTGTCATTAAACTTAAAAGATAGAAATTATCACAATCAAAAACTTCAATTACCTGCAAGCTTTGAGCCATTTTGTTCGTATCCGGAGCCAGCATACCGACCGTAAGATATACAGAGTAGAAGCAGACCAAAGGACCACACAATCACACTACTGATGTACATTTTAAATGTTACATGGAGGAGTTGGCGACCAGAGAGGATCACTGAAAGGTTAAAAAAAAGTTAATATAATATCAGACTCACTTGAAGGTTTATAATGTATAAGGTAAAAACAGCTATATCAATATCAGGATCACTCAATTGTTTGAAAAGTACAGGATAAAGAAAAATATGTAAGAAAATATCAGAGTCACTTAAAGGTTTGTAATGTATAAGGTAAAACAGCTATATCAATATCAGGGTCACTCAAATGTTTGAAAAGTACAGGATAAAGAAAAATATGTAAGAAAATATCAGAGTCACTTAAAGGTTTGTAATGTATAAGGTAAAACAGCTATATCAATATCAGGGTCACTCAAATGTTTGAATAGTACAGGATAAAGAAAACTATGTAAGAAAATATCAGAGTCAATTAAAGGTTTGTAATGTATAAGGTAAAACAGCTATATCAATATCAGGGTCACTCAAATGTTTGAAAAGTACAGGCTAAAGAAAAATATGTAACAAAATATCAGGGTCACTTAAAATAAATGTTAATCAATTAATTTGATAAAAAGGGTGAATAAATAGCAGAACCATTCAAACATGAACACTTTCATATACATTTTGCATATGTTTTTCGTGTCTCACCTGCAAATATGATTGACACAACCAAGATGATGATGTAAGCGATGAGGAAGGAGATCATAATTGGCAGGATGTCTGTAATGTAATGTAACAATCGGTAAGTGTACAGCTGTAGAAACAAAATACTTTGATAGATAAAGATCTCCAAACTGCCCTAAAGGGAGATAATTCCACTAAAACAATGTTAACTGGTATAAACATATAGAAACACTCTGTACAAAAATGATAACTCCACTAAAATAATGGTATCTGGTATAAAAATAGAGAAACACTCCGCATAAATATTGCCCTAAGGGAGATAACTCCATCAAAACAATGGTAAAAGATATTTAGATATAGAAACAAAGAGCAAACTTCTTTACAATCAAGTAAGTGCTAATGTTACCACAGAGAGAACAATACAATCTTGACCGATATGATATATACATTGAACTGTACAAATAAAACCTTAATCAGCACTTTGGACAAAATTATACTGAATACAACATATAGAAATTAAAAGGGATGAAGCGGCTTATAAAATGGCACATCACATCTAAGTCACATGGTCTCTTGACCTCTGGGTCACAAAATCTCAAGGTCACCTGGGCATATATACTTCAAACCTCTGACAGATGGATCATACATCTCCTAATGTGAAAATGAAAATGGCACACATACAAAATTCATCAGCTGAGAATTCCTGGTGAAGTAGATCTCCATCATCCCCATTTGTCAAGTGGAGGCTGTAGGTCAAGTTCAGGCCTCGGCCAGTCTAGAAACAGTTGTCATAGATACATTTACTACCGTTTAATTTAAATTTAATTACTACATTACACACAACAATAAAAATAACATTTTATTGATTCTGATAAAACATACCATAATTAATCTAAAATAAGTCCTAGGGGTGATTAATTTTATTATCTTGGACTCAAAGTCAGGAGTGGATTTATCACCAAACAATGGCATAGTGATAGATAAAAATATTGATTTACAAAAAAAAAAAAAAATATATGGGTGAACACATAACGGGGCATAGGTTCATCGTCTGACAAAAAGTTTACAAGTATAATTGAAAATTAGCAAATATATAAAAAAAAAAATTATATACATATTCCTTCAAATACACCAATGGCTTCAGTCATTGGAGTTATATACATATAGGTAATTGTAAATGAAGGTTTCTGAATCTTATACAATAATATATTACACCAAAACTTACAGATCTACATAAACTAGTTCATCACACACCTAGTTCACTATGTGTGATATTGATACATGTGTATATACCTAGTTAACATGTCTGATCACAGCGACTTACTGCCATATCAATCTATAATTGTGGTGGTCATGACGACTGAAATACAAGTACCTACCCCTCGAGTCTGATCACAGCGACTAACTGCTATAAACCACCATCGCTCCCTCATTGACCGAAACTTGAGGCCAAGGCCGGAAAGCTCGCAGTGAATGTATATTAGCCCTCCCTTGTTGACACTTTCACAGTAAGGCCAGTAGTCTTTCCCATTTAATGGATTCAGGGTAATGATTTGATTTTTACCGTCTCTCAGGATGTTCACCTTCTGCTCACATGTCTACAACCAAATAGCATGAGTTAAATTTATCTGATATTTCGTTTTTGTTTCCTGGACCAATTCACAATCTATTCCAAATTACAATATAATGCTAAACTTCAACTTCGGATAAAACCACAAGAAATTTTGCTTTTATATTTACTGTCACAACTTTATAATTTTGCATTCAATATTTTGCTAAATCAGAAGTTTAATAATAGTTACAGAGATCAATATCAACAGCCTCATTTGGGTTTTTAACATATTGGATCAGCCATCACATACACAATGTTTATAACACAACGTGACCACAAATTCAGAAATAAATAAACAAACAAAAAAGTTCCAATAGTGGAATCACTATTTCACTGTTCTTTTATGTCACTGTATTTTGTACATATACATTACAAAATATAATTCTTTATATTCAAATTATTTGCATGTTTATTTGTAGGAGGCGTGGCAACAAATGCATGCAAATAAATAATAGTATCATATTAGAAATTTCAGTTGCTGTTAATACAAATTATACGCATTCACAACGCGTTGCAAATGTAACATATGTATAAGTATGTAAGCTAAGTAATGACAAAGTCTTGAAGTTGGCACAGCTTTAAAAAATTCTCAGATCAAAGGTCTGATTTCTACTGGTGCTACCTATCCATATATACCTTTACTGCCAAAACAATGAGGTCATTATATACAGACTGAACAATGTATAACAATATACATATATATAGGTTAACTTTATCACAGAATGTGAACCACAAATGAGCACCATACAAACTGCTGTTGTGACATTAGATATTAAATTACATAATAAAAGACACAGATGAGAGCAAAGAAGACCTCAAACGTTGTACTAAGGGATCAGGAATATAAGTCACACACAATTGATGGATTGGGGATACAGATCTCATACACAGATCTAGAGCTCATGTTTGATATTGAGGAATAGAGGATATGGATCACACACAGAGCTCATGTTTGATATTGAGGAATAGAGGATATGGATCACACACAGAGCTCATGTTAGATATTTAGGGATCAGAGATAGGGATCGCTCACACTGAGCTCATGTTTGATACCAAGGGATCGGGGATAGGGATCACACACACAGAGCTTATGTTTGATACCAAGGGATCTGGATAGGGATAACACACACAGAGCTTATGTTTGATATTGAGGGATTGGGGATATGGACCAAACACACAGAGCTCATGTTTGATATTGAGGGATTGGGGATAGGGATCACACACAAAGAGCTCATGTTTGATACCAAGGGATCAGGGATAGGGATCACAGACACAGAGCTCATGTTTGATATTGAGGGATAGGGGATAGGGATCACACACAGAGCTCATGTTTGATACCAAGGGATTGGGGATAGGGATCACACACACAGAGCTCATGTTTGATATTGAGGGATTGGGGATATGGTTCAAACACACTGAGCTTATGTTTGATACCAAGGCATTTGGGAAAGGGATCACACACAAAGAGCTCATGTTTGATACCAAGGGATCAGGGATAGGGATCACAGACACAGAGCTCATGTTTGATATTGAGGGATAGGGGATAGGGATCACACACAGAGCTCATGTTTGATACCAAGGGATCGGGGATAGGGATCACACACACAGAGCTCATGTTTGATATTGAGGGATCGCGGATAGGGATCACACACAGTGCTCATGTTTGATACCAAGGGATTGGGGATAGGGATCACACACAGAGCTCATGTTTGATATTGGAGGATTGGGGATATGGTTCAAACACACTGAGCTCATGTTTGATACCAAGGGATCGAGGATAGGGATCACACACAGAGCTCATGTTTGATATTGGAGGATTGGGGATATGGTTCAAACACATTGAGCTCATGTTTGATACCAAGGGATCAGGGATAGGGATCACACACAGAGCTCATGTTTGATATTGAGGGATTTGGGATAGTGATCACACAAAGAGCTCATGTTTGATATTTAGGGATCAGAGATAGGGATCGCACACACAGAGCTCATGTTTGATATTGAGGGATCAGAGATAGGGATCGCTCACACAGAACTCATGTTTGATATTGAGGGATCGGGGATAAGGATCACACACACAGAGCTTATGTTTGATATTGAGAGATCGGGGATAGGGATCACACACACAGAGCACTTGTCTGATACCAAGGGATCGGGGATAGGGATCACACACACAGAGCTCATGTTTGATACCAAGGGATCGGGGATTGGGATCACACATACAGAGCTTATGTTTGATATTGAGGGATTGGGGATAGGGATCACACACAGAGCTCATGTTTGATATTGAGGGATTGGGGATAGGGATCACATATACAGAGCTCATGGTTGATACCAAGGGATCGGGGATAAGGATCAAACATACAGAGCTTATGTTTGATACCAAGGGATCTGGATAGGGATTACACACACAGAGCTTATGTTTGATATTGAGGGATTGGGGATATGGACCAAACACATAGAGCTCATGTTTGATATTGAGGGATTGGGGATATGGACCAAACACACAGAGCTCATGTTTGATATTGAGGGATTGGGGATAGGGATCACACACACAGAGCTCATGTCTGATACCAAGGGATCGGGGATAGGGATCACACACAGAGCTCATGTTTGATATTGAGGGATCGGGGATAGGGATCACACACAGAGCTCATGTTTGATATTGAGGGATTGGGGATATGGACCAAACACACAGAGCTCATGTTTGATATTGAGGGATTGGGGATATGGACCAAACACACAGAGCTCATGTTTGATATTGAGGGATTGGGGATAGGGATCACACACAGAGCTCATGTTTGATACCAAGGGATCGGGGATAGGGATCACACACACAGAGCTCATGTTTGATATTGAGGGATTGGGGATATGGACCAAACACACAGAGCTCATGTTTGATATTGAGGGATTGGGGATATGGTTCAAACACACTGAGCTTATGTTTGATACCAAGGCATTGGGGATAGGGTTCACACACAGAGCTCATGTTTGATATTAAGGGATTGGGGATTGTGATCACACACAGAGCTCATGTTTGATATTGGGGAATTGGGGAAAGGGATCACACACACAGAGCTCATGTTTGATACCAAGGGATCGGGGATAGGGATCACACATAGAGCTCATGTTTGATATTGAGGGATCTGGGATAGGGATCACACATAGAGCTCATGTTTGATATTTAGGGATCAGAGATAGGGATCGCTCACACAGAGCTCATGTTTGATATTGAGGGATCGGGGATATGGACCAAACACAAAAAATTAAGAAACCTTGTCTTAATACGGACATTGGATGTGTCAGACTCCTTAAAGAAAACAGTTTTGATCTAAGATAGATGTGATAATAAGACATTACACTGTTTACCTTATCACTGGGGTAGGCCTCGCTCCACTGACTCAAGTCATCATAATATAGCAGAATACTTTGGTATAGATAGGTCTGTAAAATACAACATAATAACGACATACTCAGTGAAAATTAGTAACTTGTGGAACTCTACTGTTAATTGACTAATCATAACTGTTAATGCTAAGATAAGCCATTGTGTAATTCAGTTGATCATCTACCTCATCTTTTTTATTGATATATACGTGTATATACATTGTAACACAGTATCATTAATGTATAGAGATTTACACACAAACCTTCCCCATAAATTTCCATTTTCTTCAGATAATTGATTGGGGCTTCATGTCATTAACGATACCTAATTATGACAGCATATAGCACATTGTCTATTTTTCTATGATGATATTTGCTGCCTCGTCTATTTCTCTATGATGGTATTTGCTGCCTTGTCTATTTCTCTATGATGATATTTGCTGCCTTGTCTATTTCACTATGATGATATTTGCTGCCTTGTCTATTTCTCTATGACGATATTTGCTGCCTTGTCTATTTCTCTATGATGGTATTTGCTGCCTCGTCTATTTCTCTATGATGGTATTTGCTGCCTTGTCTATTTCTCTATGATGATATTTGCTGACTTGTCTATGTCTCTATGATGATATTTGCTGCCTTGTCTATTTTTCTATGATGATATTTGCTGACTTGTCTATGTCTCTATGATGATATTTGCTGCCTTGTCTATTTCTCTAAGATGATATTTGCTGACTTGTCTATGTCTCTATGATGATATTTGCTGCCTCGTCTATTTCTCTATGATGATATTTGCTGCCTCGTCTATTTTTCTATGATGATATTTGCTGCCTCGTCTATTTCTCTGTGATGATATTTGCTGCCTTGTCTATTTTTCTATGATATTTGCTGTCTTGTCTATTTCTCTATAATATTTGCTTTCTTGTCTATTTCTCTATGATGATATTTGCTGCCTCGTCTATTTTTCTATGATGATATTTGCTGCCTCGTCTATTTCTCTATGATGATATTAGCTACCTTGTCTATTTCTCTATGATGGTATTTGCTGCCTTGTCTAATTCTCTATGATGATATTTGCAGCCTTGTCTATTTTTCTATGATGGTATTTGCTGCCTGGTCTATTTTTCTATGATGATATTTGCTGACTTGTCTATTTCTCTATGATGATATTTGCTGCCTCGTCTATTTTTCTATGATGATATTTGCTGCCTCGTCTATTTCTCTATGATGGTATTTGCTGCCTGGTCTATTTTTCTATGATGATATTTGCTGCCTTGTCTATTTCTCTATGATGATATTTGCTGCCTTGTCTATTTCTCTATGATGATATTTGCTGCCTCGTCTATTTCTCTATGATGATATTTGCTGCCTCGTCTATTTCTCTATGATGATATTTGCTGCCTCGTCTATTTCTCTATGATGATATTTCTCTATGATGATATTTGCTGCCTTGTCTATTTTTCTATGATATTTGCTTTCTTGTCTATTTCTCTATGATGATATTTGCTTTCTTGTCTATTTCTCTATGATGATATTTGCTGCCTTGTCTATTTCTCTATGATGGTATTTGCTGCCTTGTCTATTTCTCTATGATGATATTTGCTGCCTTGTCTATTTTTCTATGATGGTATTTGCTGCCTGGTCTATTTTTCTATGATGATATTTGCTGCCTTGTCTATTTCTCTATGATGATATTTGCTACCTCATCTATTTCTCTATGATGATATTTGCTGCCTTGTCTATTTCTCTATGATGATATTTGCTGCCTTGTCTATTTCTCTATGATGATATTTGCTGCCTTGTCCATTTTTCTATGATGATATTTGATGCCTTGTCTATTTCTCTATCACAGTGTTTGCTTGTCTGTTCTATTTCCTTAAAAATTTGTAAATGTTAAACAAATATAGATGAAGATTCCTTTTACATTTTTTTGTTTGTTACAGCTGATGTTGAGTAAAAGTGATGTTGAGTTTGATAACTATCAACTATAGATAATATGTTGAAAAAACAATGTGAAAGTCTGATTAAAGATATGTACATAACAATTTTACCTGACATGCAGACTTGCTTGTTGAAATTAAAGTTGGTGTATAAGTTAGTCTTTTAAATTTACAAATCAAAACTCATCCTTGGAAACAGAAGGGTTTTTACACACAAATGTATGTATATTAGTTTCATACGGTGGCCGAGTTTGTATATTTATGCAAATGGATAATATTTTCTTTTAAATCTTTTGATAAAATTACAAAACTTTAAATGGGGCTTTCATCAGACCAGGTTATATATGACATTTCAAAAGATCTTTCATAATGGATTCCAATTATTGATATATTCAAATGTAGTGGCATGCTAATGAGAGCAAATATTAACTGGTATACAAATTCAATACTGGTACAAACATGACTGCTTGTGTAGGTGAGACATGTGAATATATATTTCTGTTTTAAACTTGTCTATTGTTATTTGTGACTGTTCATACCTTGGTTGTCTGGGTATCGATGAGGTATGATGATGTTAAGTCCTAATTTATGTATATTCAACCTATACAATATATGTCTCGTACAACATACTACTTCACTTACCTGGACAGTTTTATGTTTTATTAGATTGTTTTTAGACAGCCATAAATATTGATATTACAAGCCTATCCTAATAAAACTAAAGCTTTACAACACGGACACAGCAGATCCTGTTTGTATACCCTGAATCATAGACCTCAAGTATTTGTCAACCTAGAAATTGTACACACCTTTTCAGTAAAGGCAAAATCTCAACAAGATATTATGTACAAGTACACATATATATATTTTGATATATGGTTGGTTTACAATATCTACTGATGGAAACATTGATCAACTTGTAATTGTGACTTTCCTGAACTTGTTCAAGATATTTCTGGTTTAAATAAAACTCCACATTTACTGCAAACCTTATGAGAAATTCCCAGAGATGTTGTGCCCAATACAGTAAAATCTGCTTGGTTTTAATTTCCCTTTTTTGTGTTCTTTAACCTTACATTGTTTTTTTATTAATTTTTTAATGACCAACCGATTAATCACATGGTAACATTATTTAACAAGAGAAACTTACATATGAAATTTTGAGAAAAACATACTGTAGTAAACATACAAATGTACTCAAAACATTAATATATGAGATGAAAGAAAACCTACATTTGAATACAAGGAAATCTTCACAACTCTCTGCCATCACATTAGAAATAATCACCGGAGAATGTAAAAATCTCTTCATCTGTCACATAGTGTTGGCCATTTTGTTAAATAATCCAATCCCAAAAATGGACATGCACAACTACTGGTAGAGATCTAGTGGATTCAACTAGCACTTCTTAAGATATGGCGATAATAAGAATTGATGGAGGATGGAACATGGAAGGATTGATGATGGATGGACAATGGACCATGACTGCAGAGCAATTTTTTACACATGAAAAAGGAAAACTAGGTGAATTTAACAAAGGGAGATAATTAGCATGTAGCACTTAACAAAGGGAGATAACTAACATGGGGTATTCAACAAAGGGAAATAACTAACATGTGGTACTCAACAAAGGGAGATATCTTGCTTGTGGTACTCCAAAAAGGGAGATAACTAACACTTGGTACTTAACAAGGAGAGATATCTTGCATGTGGTACTAAATAAAGGGAGATAACTAATATGTGGTACTTAAAGGGAGTCAATGGTTAAATATTTATTTCAAAACTGATAAAAAAACATTATAGCATTTAAATATCTGTTAAAAGTGGTGAGTGCAAGCACTGTCTTTATGCATTGCAATCTGAGATTTAGATTAATTCAAATTCATTAACTTCACTCTGTCATGTGTAGAGTTTGAAACAAGAGGTTTTTATACAAAGTACGAATTGAAACATAGCTGATGAATTAAGTCTTGGCTAATTTCATGATTATAGATTATAAGAAATCACATCAAAACTGCAGATTAAAATGGGGCTTTGAAAGGTCATATGATGAACTTGGCTATCTCTGATTGGTGGTAGATACAACAGTGAGTGTCGACTAGCCTTAGTTTGAAGCTGATCATCTTTATCAATTTCTCACAGAGAGTGTTTAAATTTTGTGAAGAGTTACATTTAAGGATTACAATGCTTGTCTAAAAACAAAGCATAAGGGAAAATAACCATATATTCACTCAATAAAGGGAGAGAACTAACATGTGGTACTTAACAAAGAGAGAGAACTAACATGTAGTACTTAACAAAGGGAGATAAATAACATGTGATACTTAACAAAGGGAGATAACTAACATGTGGTACTTAACAAAGAGAGAGAACTAACATGTAGTACTTAACAAAGGGAGATAAATAACATGTGATACTTAACAAAGGGAGATAACTAACATGTGGTACTTAACAAAGGGAGATAACTAACATGTGGTACTTAACATAGGAAGATAACTTATGTAAATGTGTTCTTAACACAATTAGATAATCATACATAACTACTGATGTGTAACAAAGGGAGATAACTTACATCTGGGTACTCGAACACATATCTCAGCCTCCCCTTCTCTGATAAAAAGCAGAATCTGGTGATGAAATGCCAGTCCTGAAATTAAAAGCAGAATGATTATAGACCATGTACAAATTTTTTACTTGATTAACTGTCAGTGGATCAATACTTGGTGTTATTAACACAGAGTATCTCCATCGCTTGATTGGTCACAGGTTATAACAGGATAGAAAAATCAATTTTTTTTTGCAGCATTAAATTAATATGTGTTATTATTATATGAAAGCATTATTTAAGAGAAATTAAAATTTTTAACATGTACATCTGTTCAAATTCAACACCAGTGTATTTCATTTCAAAATATGTTGAATTTTAATTATTGAAGCTTCACTTGGAAACAGCCTCATAATGGCAACCTTCGTTAAAATTCAAAGATGATTGTGTCATGATGTCAAAGTCATAAAAGAATATCTTGATTAAAACGTTTTAATAAATCTTGTTTACAGACAGGGCATCCCTGAACACTAAATCCACAGGTATCAACTCACTTACTCAGGTAAATAAAGTATATATTGATGTAAGGAAATGGCCCAAGTATATAATTTACACAATTGGAATCTATCGCCATCGGCAGCAGTCGTGAGTTGGTCTCATTACGATGGAAGAGTTAACCTGAGAGTGGGTTTATCTGTACCACACTGGGACATAGTTGTATTTGACCTAGTATTGATTTTGTTATAGGACGACTAATGAAAATAATATGCACAAAGCCGACAGGTATTCTGTCCTCTGACAGATCACTATACAATAATAAAAGTTTCCCTGAAGAAAGCTTTTTACATCGTTAAGTGTCAGTAAGTTTGACTTCTTTAAAATTAAACTGACACAATCAAGAAAAAAGAATGGAGCTTGGTAATATTAATTTATGATTATTATATCTAAGTCAGTCTATAATTGTAGATGGCATATATAATGAATGTTTATTTCAACATTGTTTTGTAGTGTTATAGCATAAGTTACATATATATACAATGTTGTACAGTGCTGAAAACATCAGTAAACAAAAGAGACAGAATTACAGAAGATGGATAACCTTGTTGAAATTTACTGACCATATATAACAAAAAATGGTGGGTATACTGTTATTTTTTATTATCCTGTTAAAACATATGTATCAGACAACAGGCAAGATTTGGTACACCATTGCCAGTAGTAATATTTTTGCGTAAAGGATTAGTGGAATACAAGATATCCCAAACAGATCACCCACCATCATTTGATTTTCTCTTCTTTTCTATTTTTTTTCTGCTTTTCATCTTAATTATACAAAATAAGAAAAGTCCTCTTAAAAAAAAATTATTATAATCTTTGACCACCAATCCAAGATGGTTGTCCATTTTCGTTTTTTTCAGATCAGTCCCAAACCAAGAACGGAACAACTGAAGACCAAGGAGAACTTATATATTAAATTTGAAAAAGACACATCCAGCACTTCTCAAGGAATATTGACAACAAATTTTCACATATAAAATATAAAATGGCCATCTGACATTGATTTCATTTTTCTGATCTGTCCCAAAATCAAAAGGGCAGAACTAGGCAAAAGCAGAAAGCTACAAATGAAATTTGAAAAAGACTTCTCAAACAGATCTCAAGAAATAGCAATAACATTTCAACATCCACTGTCAAAATCCAAGGCGACCATCAGTCAGCCATCTTGTTTTTCGGAACCATGGATATTTGGAAACCAATAAGGATATTAAATTTGAAAAAGATCCATGCAGTATTTCCCAAAATGGCAAGAACTCAAGATGGCCACCTCTCAGCCTCTTTTATTAATAACTCTAAAACAACTTGGATCAGTCCCATAATCAAAAGAACACAACTAGATACCTAGTGCAGCCTACCTACATACAAAATTCTTTATGGAATGACGACGGACAGACGGAACATGGACACAAGGCAATTCAAGGAGGATAGTTGCTGATTATAAAAATGACATGTTACCACGAACATATTTACATGTTATACAGAATTATACAGTCTCTGTCTGTCATAAGCTTACCTGGCACCCTTTTTGCACATCTGATGCTAAATCTTTTAATAAATAGCATGTACTTTGTTAATAATCCAGCACCATGGCCTAAAGTTTAACGGGGGAGTGTCTCAATACAGAAAAAAGAACAATTAATCATTCATCTGTATTTCTTTTTAACAGCAATACATTAATACAGGTGGGCTTATCAACAGACATAGGTTTATTGCTAGATATATATGTATTACACAAATGATGATAGTTTTTAAACTTGTCATTTTTCAAAGTCTTTTTTGTTCTGATATTGTGACACACTTTCAACAAACTGTTTAATAACACAGATTTGTTTTGAAATAAACTGCTAATTAATGAGAACATATTACGTGTTCAAATCTCCTGCCATTGGAGCCAAGTCACCTGCTTGACATCTCATGGAGATTATTATCTAATAGAATGTATTTAGGTAAAATTCATTATGAACGATGTTACAGAGGTCTTATTAATGAAATTATTTTCCAATGACTTTGGAGATAACAGAAGACCTAAAATCAGTGACTCATTTTTTCAGTACAACTATGAAAATATTAACACTTAAAACTGCTCCCTACTAGATTGATATGTGTAGAAAGTTTTCAGGAATTTATCTCAAATGGTTTCAGAGATAAGCTTGATCCAGAAATGCCCTGGATGGATGACAGGATGAGAGATGACATCTGATGTTAGTTCAAATAACAATATCTGGGGCCAATTTTTGTCCAATAGCAAATTAAAATCAACAAAATAAATATGATGATCATTAAAATTCTTTAAAAATCTAAATCTTCTTAAACCAAAGTTTTTCATATCTCAACATAATGGGGAAAAATTTCAATAACTTCATACTTTTAAAGATGAAGTTTATCGCAAAATACAGACTTCCTCCAGTCCAGGAAAGTCCCATATGATGTGTGTGTAGGGTCTTTTTAACCATATATATATACACCAAGTAAATTGGGTCCTGAAGAAGCCCATATATTTGGGGCGAAACCAGTAGACGGATGATAATAAATAATCATTTCGGTATCCTTAGCTTGTTGTGATTGCCTATTATCTTCAAGTATATCGGTAATATATGATATTCTTCTCAAGCACTCAACTCACAACTGCACCAAATCAAAAATCTCCATTGTATAAGAATTTCAGTCCGGCTATTGTCTTTTGTTTATTTCGTAATGTTGGCTGTAAGAAATAAACGAGGTATTCATATAAGCTAAACATGCATGTTAGTCTCCTTAATTTGACTAATCCTCCAGTATCGCAGTAGATTCAGGAAGCTCTGTAGCCAAGTGAATTTAAACGACTTACAAAATTAATGTAGTTGTGCCATTTTAGATCATGTACAAGCACAAGAACAGCTAAAAAACAAGAAAACAAAGCAAAAACAAAAAAACATAAATCCATATAATGCCCTGGATCAAATTTTCTTTCTTTACTTCTAAAGCACTATAGCCTGGTGTCTAACTTTATTCTCTCTGGGCATGATATTGGCTTTACTTCTTAATCGTTTATACATATTCTGACCCTAAATGTTTACAATACTATTGAAATAAGACAAATGTAAACAATCCGTGGAGTTGCGCGAGAAAGTCCCTATGTAACTGTTGAATTGTCCATATCGTCATAATGGTAAGATCATGAATATAAACCCTTTACAATACAGCTTATCATCCGAATAAAGTGTTTTGTGTGTATATATATATCCACCTAACAAATGGTATTCCCAGTCTGCTGACAAGATACCGTTTGACATACAACTGCATGATAAAAAAGTCACCGAAGCATTTTCGCTTGACATCATACCTCAAGTGTGGTCAAAGTTCCATCTACACGTTTCCCTGTTACATGTCCAGGTACAATCCAAGTGAAAACAACACACACCGTTAATAAAGATGATATCCACATCTCGTCCATTAGGTATTGCAACTGGGACGTATTTACTTTTCGGAGCCTCTTGCTACTTATCCATCGAAATATGAAATCGTGAAACTTCGGAGTATCGAAAGGTTCCGGCGAACAAGCACCTGCTTGTGTTGCTAAGGGTGATGAGTATAAACATGTCGTGATTTCGTATGTGTGACTGTCTATTTTTGTTATAATGTGTATTTTCTTTGTGTTACTTTCTTTTCTAATGAATGTAGTAATTGAAATAACTGATTGTTACACGTCAAACCAGCGAGTCTTACCAAGTGTTGTTTGAAACATTATGAAACAAACTATGTATAATTTAAGCATATGTCCGACTACGTTTTCATATATATACATTTGTATGATCCCATCCACATGTTCCCGATGTCTGATTGTATTGCCATACTAGTGGTACTCAGGGTTTGTATTAGATATATTTCGTTTAAATCAGTTTAACAGTTTAAAATGAAGTGCGATTCGCATAATATTTGCCGAATAATTTTTAAAAAGTAACAGCTGTTACTTATCACTTACATACTGGTCTCTCATTAGACTGTCAATCATTTCATAATGACTTTCATTCTGAAGTAGAAAATGCATGTCGTTATTTCTATTACTTTTTTCTTTTCTTTATCTTAGTTAATTAATTGCTGCAGCATATACACGTGTATTTCTTTTATTTATGTTTCATTATCATATTTTTATGCGTGTGTTTCTCCATATCATTTACAGGACAACTACTATATCAACATCTATTTCGGACCGCTATATATATTTCGGAGCGGCCATTTTGTTGAACTGTATTACGTGAGCTATTGACCTACATGACCTACAACCCGGATGATTTTGGTTAATGTAACACATAACGCCTCCCACAAGAACAAAAACTTTGATTAAATCAATTCAGCATAAGATATATTACGAATACTCGTTTCATTGGCATTACCTTTTCTTAGTACATATTTGACCATGTCAAACAGCCCCCCCCCCCCATTTGATGAAATAGCCAATCAATTAATTCTTGTATGCCATTATTTTGTTGTTGTCTGTCAAGTGAATAAAGTTGGACACAATAACAATGATAATGATATGCGATATTTATATAAGCGTTCTTCACTGTTAAAAAGGTCAGCTCTAAAGAGCTTTACAATGTTTTAAAAACTTAATTTTACTAAAAAAAAAATAAACAAAATACAACACATATACATCTATGATAATACAAATAAGAGTTGGGTAAATGTCGAAAGAATCAAACACTAGTGCAAACTTATTAACCACAGTTAATCACTATTACACATCAAATGCACGTTTAAAGAGATGCGTTTTCAGTCTGGATTTGAATACTGTGTGTTAGTCACATTTACGCAAATGGTAAGGTAGATAATTCCACAACTGTGCTGCCGAATGGTCTAAACAGCGGACTCCATATGTAGCAGTCACTGTTTTAGGGACAGTCAGCATATCACTAGACAGTGATCTCAGTGTCCTTGCGGGAAAACATGGAACAACCAATTCTTTCAAGTATGCAGGAAAGGGTCCACGTAGGACATTGTAAACATGCACTAGAAGTTTATATTTGCATCGGAACTCTACAGGAAACCAGTGAAGTGACACAAGCACTGATGTGATATGGTCTCTCTTCTTTGTTCTTGTCACAAATCGAGCTGCAGCATTTTGAACCTTTTGTAGTATTTTTCAACAGAGTATTCGGTATACCATAGAGAAGCGCATTGCCATAATCCAAACGTGATGTCAGAAGAAAGTGAACAAATGTCTTACAGGCGTCTGACGTTAGATATTGACGAATGCATCCTATGTTGGGAATTTGAAGATAACAGGATTTGGCAATACACACCGAAGTTTTTCACAACTGGTGCTGGCGTAACTGCACTGCTGCCAACAGTGAGCTGACAGTTTTGAAATTTCCATTGCTGGCGCTGGAGATATGAATAGTAGACATGTCCCTTTTTCCCAAAGAAGTCCAAACACATGTCCATCATTTCAGTTAAGCAAATTTGAAAACGTGTTTTTGGATATCTATCTGACAAATTCTGGTGTTTCACTGTTCATTTTATTGAATAAATTTTATTGTATGAATATTTTTCAGTACACTTTTGTTTTTGTTCGGTTGCAACGCATCGACATAACATTGCTATAGATATATGATTACCAATGAGTCCGAAACTAATGCGCCAAAGATACCAAACATGTGACAGCAACGCGATAAATAGATATATTTAACCAAACCGAACATTTTCAGCGTCATTTACGCGGACAGAAGGCGACATTTCAAGATGGTGGCAAGTAAACAACCGAGCAAGTGCATTGTGTGTAATGGGATTTTAATTCTGAGAGAGTTTTTCACCGAATCATTATCCACACGTCATGTACATGTATAAACATTGATCGACAAGAGTACATTAGCGCGGACAAGTATCTGTAATGGAAAAGAGATGCATGGTGCAATTGAAACTGCATTTCATTGGAAATCCGATAACGAGTTGTGTTTTGTCCTACAAATTGAAACATGTGTTGTATTGATATAAGGACGTTTAAGTTTGTTTAATTAGCCACGTGCATGTTGCATTTAAAATTTAGTATTAATTTAAATCAATTTACCGTCAAAGTTTACACGATTATTGGTGCCATGCTATTCTTCCCTCATTTATTTTTAAACCTGATATTGTTACATTTTCGTCATGGAGGCAGTAAATGATATGATAGGTAACCTATGGACGCAAACCGAAGGTCTCTATATGCATGTCAAGTAATGCACGATAAATGGTCTCAGTGACTTGAAAATAACATTCATGTCTAGTTCAAATACTCATGTTTTCATCCTGTAAGTGTTCGAAATTCTGGACAGTATTTGCATCCATAATATCAACATTACTGCATGTTAACTAGTTCTATCTTATTTACGTTTTTTTACAATGGCATTACCCAAACTAAAATTGTGACCTTGTATCCTTTCGTTTGTATCAAGTGTTGATGGTAGATTTGAAGTCATTTTTTTTATCAAACATAGCAATATATTACGAAAACTGTGATTAAATCTCCCATTCCCCGTTATTTTAGAGTTGGATGTTTCAGTATCTTGACTAGTTCCTTCTGAGAAGATACTTGGACCTGGAGACGAGTTTGGCCGCTTTCGTTGGATGTTGTCATTTATCTGAGTGTCCTATACTTTGTGCTGATTCCTTGTACATGTTGCATCTTCCGAGTGTCGTTTAATAAATTCTTTAAATAGTTCTTTGAACATTGTATCTTCTACATTTTGTATGAAAGAATCGAGTTTGCTTTGATAAAATTTTAAATGCGGGATCGAAAACCCATTCTTTTTATTTACTAACACACCAAGGTATTTGTCTTGTCCAATGATACACTGATCCTGAAGGTGGTAGGTTATATACTGTTGTATACCGTCTATACTTACCTGTACTTACCTGTAATTATATACTGTCTTCACCTAGCTGGTAATTAGATACTGTTTACACTTACCCGGTAATTATATACTGTTGTTTACATCAGCAATTATCGTGTGATATTTTTAAAGACAATTGTGACAATGAAAAAAAAATTGTTAGTGGACAACCAAGATATTCACTTTGATTAGGTAAGACTGTGCATTCTATGTTATGTTGTACGTAAACTGTATTTACAGATAAATTACCTGTAGGCAGCGTATGAATCATTTAAATAAGTATATTTTTATCTTTATTTTATACGTATAGAATATGGTTTGTGATTTACAATGCTTCATAAGTCATATATGGCTGGATGTTAGTTTATATATTTCTGTTTGTATGTCTCAGATACCTGTTGTAAATGTTTGTAAATATGTGGCACTTGATTGATCTTCATTGATTGATTAATTGATCGATTGATCGATATTGTATTCCATAAACTTACCTGGCTTATTAGGTATTATCGATTACACATTTCAAATACGTGTTACTCGATGAATGTCATTACCGAAGTGTTATAAACTCATTCTACTCAAAGACGTATACATGTGACATCGTCTCGATTAATCTATATTTACGTGAATTGTGTTCGCTTCTCAGATTTCTAATATTGTGTTTGTGATCATTAATGTATAAGAGTTATCTCCCGTAGGATAAAGCTAGATACAGGAGTATCGGGTAAAAGAGAAAATTAGTTGTGAATATCTCATGAATATCAAATCAAAACAAGATGAAATTACACTGTGTACATATATCTGTACCGTGGAATTACGCTGTGTACACTTATCTGTACAGGGAAATTACACTGTGTACACATATCTGTACCGTGGAATTACACTGTGTACACTTATCTGTACCGTGAAATTACACTGTGTACATATATCTGTACCGTGGAATTACACTGTGTACACTTATCTGTACAGGGAAATTACACTGTGTACACATATCTGTACCGTGGAATTACACTGTGTACACTTATCTGTACCGTGAAATTACACTGTGTACACATATCTGTACCGTGAAATTACACAGTGTACATATATCTGTACCGTGGAATTACACTGTGTACACTTATCTGTACCGTGAAATTACACTGTGTACACATATCTGTACCGTGAAATTACACAGAGTACATATATCTGTACCGTGGAATTACACTGTGTACACTTATCTGTACCGTGAAATTACACTGTGTACACATATCTGTACCGTGAAATTACACAGTGTACACATATCTGTACCGTGAAATCACACTGTTTACAAATATATGTACCGTGAAATTACACTGTTCATATATATCTGTACCGTGAAATTACACTGTTTGCACATATCTGTACCGTGAAATTACACTGTGTACACATTTCTGTATAGAGAAATTACACTGTGTACACATATCTATACAGGAAATTACACTGTGTACACATATTTGTACCGTGAAATTACACTGTTTGCACATATCTGTACCGTGAAATTACACAGTGTACACATTTCTGTATAGTGAAATTACACAGTGTACACATATCTTTTTTTCTGTGAAATTACACTGTGTACATACATTAAACTATTAGTTTTACTTGTAAGGATATAAAAGTGCATCTATTTACTAAGTAACCCTAAATACACCAGTCATCATTTCACGCTCCGCTGGTTCAATAAATATTCCTTAGCATGCTTAAATATTCCGGTCATCCGCAGTGAAATATTGTCACATATGTAGATTTATCCCTGACTAGATCTCAGAAAACTACTTGTCGACCGCCGGAACTTTAGAAGGCAAGATGGCTGTACCAAAGAGAGTGAAATTTTCATTGGCTACTTTATTCATTCAAGCTGTTTTCATCATCATTTACGCTATCATTGTTGATTACGAAGATGCTGCAGATCCGACGAAGTCCGACAACGACTATCCTACACCTAAATATTATCCAAGTAAGTGGTCTGACATTACGTGCTTTACACAACTACGAGAAGCACAGACCGACAATTTTTTTGGAAATACATGAGATCTCAAATATACATGATTAACTTGCACAACCATTCATTATGAATCTCATATTTTATAATTTACCAATGTTTTAACTCTGATTTTGACGTTCCTCTGAGTTTTAATCAATTTAAAAACGGTTTCTATCGCGTGATCTATAACTAAAACTCGTATTTTGACTAAATTTGGCAATGTTTTACTGACCTCTGTTCCCGATTCTGGTTCTGTAACTTCTAGATATCCATAAATATCCTTAAATATGCTACAATCTGGTTTGTCATGCCTTATTTAAGCAGGAAAGAGATGTCTATAATTTAATTTACATACATTTCCCCGTCGAACCACAGACATATGTCGCATACCTGTTGCAGTATCAGTTACATCACACTGCACTGTAAATGATACATATCCTTGGCGGTTTCTAGGTATAGTTAACTTTCATAAGCTATTCGTAAGCAATAAAAACAACATTATAAAGATAAATGTTTATCAAACACAAAATATTGACAATTTCATTTTAATTATTGTAACATTGTAAGAAATATTTATATTTTGCGAAAAACAAAAACCAAGCTGGATATACCATTTAAGAGAGTAGATTTTTAAAGTTAAGATTAACAGATAGATAAAAAGGTAATAAAACTCGGCGTAAATTATTGTGTTAGTGTCAAAATAGGTTAAATCGTTCAATCATTCATTTTATTGACTTTTGGCCTTCCAATCGTACAATATATCAACTTTTTAGATTTAAAGTAAGGTGCCTGTAGGACTGACAACAATAAGTACACACATACCTGTCGATAAACTTTTCATATCTGTTTAAAAAAATAAAATGAAATAAAAAGACACATTCAGGAATTAAAATTTGAGCTTAAGGTTCCCTGTAGGACTGATATACACTTCTTGTAGTGGAATAGAAGTTCTTTAACGCACCCAATATATGATTTAAGTGTGACTACGCGGTCACATTCATCAGACAAATGACCGGTGTGAAACGTACTAGCACTGATTTACGTAGTGTATAAGGTATTGACCAACCTTTTCGGCTGCATCAACAACCTGAAGAAAATGTACTGAAAAAAATCACGTATAGTAGACCGTCTCATCTGTTTCATAACAGGTGCCCATTTTATGCCACCGGTTGACAGATCGGGGGCAAATTAGTTTTGTGCTGTCTGTTTGTCTGTTGTCAGCTTTAATATTGCCCATACCTATTACACCAAAAGAGATAGGGCTATCATATTTAGCAGGTGTAGCATACTTTACACATTACATTTTTAACGCCCCTCTTCAGAATTTTGCTGCATAGCTTGTCATAAACGCATCTTGTTACTGTCATAAAATTTTTCTATAATATTTATGTTTTCAAGGTCCTTTGAAAAATAAAATACCACTTAACCGACTGTATTATGTACACATACATATATACAGACTGCAGCTTCGATAATGCAGAGGAAGGATATCCAGCAAACTGCTAAGGCAATGTCCCCTACCGGTCCCACAAGCTATCTCACTTCAATGATTTATAAAGATGGTGCCGTTTGTTGCTAATTTGGAGAACAAAGAAAATATATAATTAGTTTGTTAGATTTTAAAGTGATAATGCAATAAATAAGTATAATAATCTGACAAGAGTTTCATCATCAATTTGTAATAATTTTTATGGTCATTTGTAAGTGTGTGATGTTTGATTCAAAATCTCATAAAGAATGAAGCCCCTTAGAGCACTGACAACACTATTCTGAAACAGTGGCCATGCCTTTGGTACAACAACCCTGGAACTCAAACTTGTCCAAAATAATTTGGTGTTTTTTTTTTAGTGTGTGAATTTTTATGAGAATCCCTCAGGAACTGAAGCCGCTAGAGCGATCACAAACTTTATCACAGACGCAGGGACGGACGGACGTTTCACTGTTAGGGGACTAGAATTATCTGTTGATCACTGAGGAGGGGGTGTGTCTTTTTTTGTAGAACTCGTTTCCGATCACAGGGTCTGGTCTAGATATGTGTTTCTGAACCCCCATTCTTGGTGAATAACGAGTTTTTTTTTTCAAAATATGAATCAAGTGTATATTTTGTTCAAACCATGCCAGTATTTGCAAACATGAATAATGCAAATTTCACAAAAGACAAACAGTGATATTTCCCGTCTTTTTACATATTCCAACTCCATGATGTCTTATTAATGATTCATAGAGAATAAGAAACAGTTCCTCGTCCATCACTCTTCACTTTATCACCTCTTGTAAAATGGATTCAATTTTGCTTATTTTTGGTCAGGCTGCTACGTGTGGACTTAAGTTTAGCTCGAAGGTAACCTCCAGGGTCCATCTTTAAGTATATTGCTTTATATTTGCTGATCTGTCCAATCTCCCTCAATGATTCATGTGTTTGATTTCTGTATACAAAGCGAAAAGTTTTATATTTAGACGTGTTACCATGTGTATGACCAAACTGGTTATTAATTTGTTTGAATGCTGGATCTGTGTTTTTTATGACTTTAGCAAAAAGCTTAGAGTTCAAAGTCATTAAAATCATTTTTAAAAAAAATTACTCGTCCTAACACACTTTCCCGGAATACTCCGCTTATGACATTTATTCAACCGGAAATGTTTCCACTGACTACACACTCGCTATCTCTCCTTAAGGAATTATCCGATTCACGCACTAAACTTTTTTATCATTACATTACATGTGTTCTATACTGATCACAAAGACATTTTCTATCTCATTTTTTACACGCGACTACAAGATCCCTGGTACAATAGCCATCTGATATGTTTTGTGATGAATGCTACAGGCATGTGTAATGTTTATATAAATCAACATGTTTTTGTTTGTTGTTCATTTCAGTGTACCAGGACATACATGTGATGATTTTTGTTGGGTTTGGTTTCCTGTACACCTTTCTATACCGCTACGGGTACTCTGGAGCCGGCATCAACATCCTTCTCGGAGCTGTAACAATACAATGGACGCTGATCGTACGGGCACTCTTCTTCCACGAACTCGCCTCAGGGGTTCGAGTCAAAATGTCCTTAACTGAGTGAGCATGGTTTAAGAGCGCGGGAGCATAGCAAATGCTCACGAAAAAAAAAATTGCAATTTTTTAAAGTTTTCTTAAAAACTCAAGTGAAATGGTCCAAGATCACAGCGAAACATCTTTTTTAAGCTTTATCTGGTCTTAAAAGAAACTCCATCCATCTCGTGCTCGATTGGTTTATCTCTGTGCGTCTACTGAAAATTTCGATATACAGAAATGTTAAATATAAATAAGTAAATTTAGCATTGGATAAAACAGGTGACAAATAATGATGAAGGATGCTAAGGGCTTTGCTTCAGAGCCAGAAAGAACAGTTGATGTTTTATATGACACTGACTGGTAACATTGCTCCAAAGGTCAGTACAATTGTTAAGGCGACGTTTAAAATTTACAGGTTGATAAATGGCGATTTTAACGCAGCCACAGTACTGATCTCGTTTGGGGCTCTGATAGGAAAAACAGGTCCTCTACAGCTTCTGGTCATGGTCCTTCTGGAAGTCATCTTAGCCAACCTCAATGAATATATTGGTACGGAACATTTAAAGGTATGTTTGACGTCATCGGCGTTCTCTTACACGTGGTTTGCCTGACAATGTAGGCGCATTCATTACAAGCCATGTGTGACATTATGGATGTCATGTGACGTTCTAGATCAGCATGCCTCTCAGATGGGAGGTTTAAGTGTTATTGTCAGTTAGCTGTCAGAGCTTGCTAAACTATCGTTCCTGTCCGATTGATGACAGGTATAAGTTTTATCATTGCTTAATAAAGGTAGTGTATGCTTCATCACCATGGCGACGTATCGACTCCTTCAAACGACGTTTAACAAACTACTACTGTCTTTGTTACGTCATCGATATCACCTGGTTAAAGGTATCTGTAAAGTTATCGATAATGTCTTTTACAAGATTTACGTGAAAATCTTGTTTGTATGACGTCATCAATACTGTCTAATTTTCATCTTTTCAAAATACTCATGTACACATAAAACAAGCATATTATCCCCTAACCTGTAACCTGTGACGTCATGCATCCTAAATGAGCCTAACCATTTACTAAGTTATGACGTCACGTATTTCTGTGTGAGCGTAATCTGTGACGTCACGTGCATAACATGAGCCGAGCTTAACCCAGTCCGTTGTATGTTTCAGGTGAGCGATGTTGGCGGTTCCATGTTTATTCATACGTTTGGAGCCTACTTCGGCCTTGCTGTGTCACGTGCCCTGTATAGGGAATCTCACCAGTCTTCGGCAAATCTTCGTCCCGGGTATCTGTCCGATATCTTCGCTCTGGTTGGTAAGTAGTGAATCCGATATGACATTCCAAGTATTGATCAACAGAGAGTTTAAAGACTGCCACCTTTATCATTTGGAGACAATTGTGACTTTCAGAAATGATAATAACGTTGTGATGTTAAATTCATTTTTTTCTGCGAAGCTTTAAACATCATACCGCTTTTCAGAAACTCGACTGTTACGATCGCAATACGACGATTTGTCTGTATTGTTTTTAACGCAATATTCTGATATTTGAATTTACAATATTCCAATGATGTTGAGATCAGACCTCCATAGTCTATTATACATTTATAGAATACTTCATGTTAATAATGTTGTAGCTGTTCTATGGACATAAGTTGTCACTATAGTTTTGTCATGCTGTAAGTTTTCTCGAGTTTTCTGTGATATCTTTTTCTGTGTTGTTTCCGATATGTCTTGACGTAACTTTGACCTTCTCATACACATTTATTACAGGCACTATCTTTCTGTGGTGCTTTTGGCCGAGTTTTAACGGAGGCTTAGCGACCGATGATGGCAGACTCCGGGCGATCATCAACACTCTGTCGTCGCTCGTTGCTTGTGTCGTCGTTACCATGGCTATCTCGTCCTTGCTAAGTCGTCGCGGTAACATCGAGATTGTAAGTAATTCATATTTCTTAATGCCTAACACACGGTAAAATGTGATCAATACGGTATGTAGACGTATTCTCTGAAGTTAAAGATTCTGACGTAAGGAAGAAAAAATGCCGGCCACAGTTACTCAATCCTTCAACTCTAATATGAACCACCCCCCCCTCCCGCCCCCCTCAATCCTAGCGCCCCTCCACTTTCTTTTCGGATACTGAAAGACCATAACAAGCTACCAAAATTTAAACCTGACAGTTGGTTTTGTAATAGTGACTGATTTCCGCCATTTTGGGGGAGCGATAAAGTGATTTGTCGAAATCAGTTTGTATCGCAAAGAATTTAATTGATCAAGATTGATATAAGCTGCTACAAACTTGAATGAAAGTTGCTAGAGTTCGGACAAGATATCCAGATTCCCCAATATATAAATCAAAATCACCAGCCGACCGGTTTCTCCCTTTAACAGAATTGATATTATCACACAGATGGCAAGCCTTAATGTTTTAGGCTCGGCGAGGGTGTAGATAGTATATTATGATAAATAAATGAAAACAATATATATATAAGTGTTATCGCTCTAGCACACTGCAATAATTAGCTCAAAACCGAATGACAAGTAAAATACAGGCGAGGCCTAGTTACCCCTCGCACTTTTCGGGTATACAAAAGTATTCTGTCTGATGTGACTTCCGAACGACACGTATTTTGACAAACACCCAGGTCTTAATAAAAAATATAATAAAACATACAAACCACATTCATATGTGATGGTTTATACCTGGCATTTCGTCTTTTCGCACTGTTGTTCGCGAAAAGACCTCCGGCGAGTGCGCGAAATCGCGAAAGGATAAAAACAAAACGAAATAAAACCCCGGCAACCCGCCATTCAGGTTTGTGACAGAGTAACCTCATACTCATTCATGCCCGACCCTGTTCAGCGTCATAGCAGAGTAAAAATGCACTGAGATAATAGACATTATAGGATATCATAATTCACATGTTTATACCTCTTGTGTAGGCCATATAAGTTCATAACAGATATGTGCGTCATACGCTTTTGTAGACGGCGAAACATTACCGCTGTATCGTGTAGATGAAAAAATGCGAAGATAAGATTGACACTGAATAATATAAACTTATATGACATGATATCACGCAGGCCTTGTAATGTGCAGATATTTTTTATCATTCGGTCGTAAATAGCGCACTTTAAAATTTGACTCTTTAAAATTCTGCTGCTTTCAAATAACTTCGATGTACGTGTTTTATAATTTAAAAAAATGTAGGGAGGTTTTTAGAAATCAATATTTCATGGCTTGAACAATTCTTCCTTGAAGTTGTCAAAACATGCTAATTGTAGGCACAAAATATGTTCTATGGGGAGACAAGAAACAAAAATATATTTTGTCTCACATAGATTCGATCTAGACATGCAAGACTGGTTTCCATCGATTCAGCTGGAGACTCTTAAATTTCCTAATAATTTATCTCCTGGAACGCTGCAACTAGGCCACTTAAATACGCGACGGCTTCATCAAAAAGGTCGCCACGAAGACTAGTTAACGAGCGAAATAATTGTGACTTTATAAATATTCCGATGCTGTTTTGCTTTATGGCATCATTCTTGTTTCTCTCTTACTTTGAGTGCCAATGTATTCCACTTGTTTGGCCTTTAATTCGCTGCTACTATTACTTGGGCTGAATGCTTTTTTGCTGTGGTATACGAATTCATCAACGCGTTTTGCCATATTCATTGATGTGTCCTGTTTCGTTGGTTTTTGACAGGGTATTTATTGTCTTTGGGAAAGTGTCAAGGTCTTCTGTAGCTTAAGTTTGAAGAAACTAAAACCTTAAAAATATTTTACTTTTTTCTTTGTTTTTTTTTATTATTATTTTAAATTTTGTTTACGAATATCTGTACACGTCAATTTGTGTTTGAATTTCCTAGAGTCACCTACAGAACGCCTCACTTGCTGGTGGAGTGGCCGTAGGAACATGCGCAAACATGCCGATTAAACCTTGGGGAGCCATGGTACTCGGGACGTTAGCAGCCATTGTATCGACTACGGGTTATAAATACGGCAGTGTAAGTAACAGCGGTAAATAAACTCATGTGCGATTCTAAAGTTCTGTGGTGTGCATTGTTTAAATAAAATTTTGGGTCTGAAATATATAGGAATTGTCACTAAACTGTTATATCAATAGCAACAATCGTCAACTTCTTAACAAAAAACAGAGTTGGGCGTTGTATGAGGATACACTCAAAAAATTCACCAACTTATGGACAAAGACAAGAGTTAGGCATTACATTGTCAGTAAGTATACACCCATCAAACCTCGCCAACTTTTGGATTTGGAGAAAGACAAGATTTAGGCATTACATTGTCAGTGAGTATACACTAAAAACAAAACTCGCCAATTTATAGACAACGGCATGAGTTAGGCATTACATTGTCAGTGAGTATACACCCAACAAACCTCGCCAACTTTTGGACAAAGACACGAGTTAGGCATTACATTGTCAGTGAGTATAACCTTGCTAACTTCTGGATAAAGACAACAGTTAGGCATTACATTGTAAATGAATATACCCTTAACAGGAATCGTCAACATATAGGCAAAAATCAGAGTTGGCCGTTAAGTATAAGTGAGGATTAGCCGACCACAGTTAGTTTAAGTTTACTTATTTAAACCTTAAACTTTGTTTTAGGATTACTTGGCTTCGAGATTCAAGATCCATGATCCGGCAGGCATCAACAATCTGCACGGCATGCCGGGAATTCTGGCCGCGTGCGGCGGAGCTGTCATGGCCGCCATTGCAACGAAAGACAACTTTGGTGACAGGTGACAGAATGATACCATATTGTTTGGAATTAATTATTAAATATTTGTATGTAGTATGTTATATAATGTTTAGAGTGACTGTTGGCGTACATTTCGATGAGTTTAGAGTGCGTAAGAGGTGTGTACAGATCACGATATTTGGGGTTATAAGAATTATGTAACATTTTGTGACCACAGACGTATTACAATGCATGGTTTGAACTGAACACCAATTACATTATTGCATTTAACTTCGTACTTTACAAAAAACCCAGAAAATATCAACACGCAACTGGATCTCTCTCCGATAAAACGAGGTGACTATAAACAAACGGAATATTTACACAATGACTCCTGAAAAGTACAACGAGAATAAGGCCATGTGTTCAGAAAGCATAAGCGTCTTCTGCAATATTGGTCAGTCCAAGATAGTATCGGTATTCTCCAAAATGAGAACAAAGTTAATAACAACGAAAACGTACTAACGAGAATCAAACACGTCGACATCTTACATGGGTATGCTATTGGGAACAAATCTATTTTAACTTATCAAAATGTATCACTTATAACACGCATTTATTAGCACGTATCGTTGAAAGCTGTGGACTCTTTTTTTTTTTAAATATTTCATTTTTAGTCGCAATACATCGTAATATATCATTATTAATAAATCACACATCATTTATGTTTATCTCGTAAAAGTAGCTTTGTCAACCAGTCGAATTTCAATAATTAGTTACTCTACTGAGTAACCCACTAATAAGTCGACATTTTAATTGATAAAAAAACCCAAAAAAACAAAACAAACCAACAAACGAAAAACGGGTACAGTATACTATCTAATATTGAAATATACATAACATTGTATAATTATCATTTTCGAGGTTAAACTTTCTATATCGGTGCCCTAGTGGCGACGGCACATTTTAGAAGTTTACATTTGAAAGATTAAAATGTCAGAATGGTCGAGCTTGTAGTAAACGACTTACGATGTCGACAGTATTTTTCTATGTGTATGTTATTTTTACGGCACGTCTTTCGGAGTTTTGTAACCGGTTCATGTTCTTGTGACCGAGTCACCGATGGACCGGTCAATCATTGGTCACCCTACATTACAGGAAATATATATAGCTGGTGATCGTGTTGATTAGAGAAATATTACCTGAATCAATCGTGTGTAATATTGCATCAGACATTTTGTCTATTTCCACCAGTCTCTACGTCATCTTCCCGGCTAGGACACCAAACATCGTTAACGGCACTGTTTACCCCGCGGATCGCTTGGCCTTCGACCAAGGAGGTTACCAAATAGCAGCACTCGTAACAACTCTGGCATTGGCTATCGTCGGCGGTCTTCTCACAGGTAAATATGGTCGTGTACGGGATAACTTTCCAGGTTTAGAGGTCAACGCTTAGGTCATTGACACTATTATTATAAACAGGAAACCATTTTCCTACACAATATTTCAAGTTCTGTTTGATTAATTGTACATTTTAACAGGGCATGCTTGATTTGTTTTTGCGTTTTATGTTCAGAGTTGAAAGGTTGAGGTGATAATTAGAGGTTAAAGGTCGAAGTAATAATTTCTATAAATAGGACTAGGATTATTAATTTTACTGGTAATTGAAACAAAATTTACTGAAATCAATTGAAAAATTTGAATTTTTTACTCGTCAATATTTTATGATGATATTCTGAAGTAAAGAGTTATGGCGAATTTATCCTGACGTTGCACCTGTTCCGGTTCATTGCCTTGGTCGATCTAAAAATACATGCCTAATGACGACAGGAAAACGCGCGTTTAAAGTTTTTGTATCTAAATACAGAACACGTACGTTCTGAAAATGACGTATTTACTGTTTGTCGCTGGCGATATTGGAAAGACGAAACAAAAGTTTAACTCAGTGATCGGATTAATACTTAACAACATTTACAACACTATTAAGTAAGACTATAACGACAGTGTCACTAGTACTATATTCTAACTCGTCAGCTGCGTTCAGTGTTACCTTAGAAAACAGATCGGATTTTGGCCAGTTATCAGTGCAATGCATATGAATATGAATAATTAAACGAAACTTGCTGCTATAAATATTTTATTGAAAAAGGGAACATTATGATTTTAGTAACTGAGATCGAGGGTGCAACCTCATGAAAATACGACCAAAAAGGAGTAACATTTTACCGCCCTTTTTATAGGCGTTGATATTGAAATAATCTTCATTCTTGTCCTACATTGATTGAACGCATAAACAACATTTTGGTCCAATTTAATCTTTAATAAAACATGTTTTAGTGAATATTGCCTAAGGTAGCAACTTTGACAGTCTGTAAAATATAACACAAACAAAATATCCAAAGAGATTTTTCTGATAATTATCATTTATAGGTAACTCATTGAACTTCAAGTTCAAATTCGCGAAATATGACATTAATTTTCCATTTTATTGTTTGTCCAATATGTCGAATCAAGCAGTTACCCTTCATACCGCTTTCACTAAACATGACACGAGCTCTTCAGTTCTAGGTGACAGGGCCATATTTTGATCATTCTATATCTTTTGTTTTAACATTATGCAGCAAAGATAACCAGAAGCAAATAAGAAAGTGATTGATTAAAACTGAAGGTCAATAAGTTTTAAATGAAGGTAGAACTTTTTATCTTTTAATAAATAAATATTTACCTATAACATCACAAAACAGAGCTGATTAATGAAAGGTCACTTGACTAAAATTCAAATTCACAGGGTTCAAGGTCAAAATCAAATATAAAATATTTTCAACGGAAAATCATTTGCTATGATATTATAAAAGAAGCAAAATGATCAGGCAATTGTAATATCAGTTTAGACCTAGATAAAGCTAGATAAAGCTCCAGATAAAACTATAGATACATCTAGAAAAAAGTAGATAAATATGGATAAAGCTATAGATAAAGCTAGATACAAATCTAAATAAAGCTGAATAAAGCTTTAGATAAAACTCTGGATAAAATTAGATAAAGTTCTAGATAAAACTCTAAAAAAAGCTCGAATACAAACATTGGATAAATGAAAAAACTTTAGATAAAGCTAGATTTTTTTTAAAGTCGTTTAATAAATAAACATACATTTTTACCATGTGGAGCGAATGCTGACGTAGACAAAACAACATATTATCGTCTAAAAAAGGAAACAAAATTGGATGTTTAACATTTTTTTTTGATAAATCATTTGCATTCAACTGTAATTATTTAATATTTCTACTCTAGATCTGGCCGGTATATCTGACAATTGTGAAAAGTGACTATTGTAATATAAATATATATATATATTAGAAAATAAACTTTTAGAAGGATCCGTTTTGTGATTATTTTAAACTTTTTTTACTGTCGCATTGATCTGTCCACAGGTCTCGTGATGCGTGCCCCGATCTGGGACGCCCCGGATGACCAGGAGTTATATGACGATAGAAATTACTGGGATGTTTCGGAACATGGCTTCCCTCCTGATATAGCTACTATACAAACGGGTTTTACATACGGGTAGGTAACACTTTCTCAGGACTTTAGGACTTGGAGCCTTAACTTGATTGGGAAATACCGAAAGCGAGATTTAAAAAAAAGTAATAATTGTCATTAATTATCACCATGTTTTTCTGATCAATATTTTAACCTATCACCGGTTATCGTTTACTACATAGTAACGAGTGAGATAAAGAGAAAATAAATACTAGGTAACAGTGTTACCTTCGCTACACTTAACACGTTCACAAATATTTATTCTATAACGAATTTTGTCTGGTTGACATAAGACTATTTAAAGCTATCAATTAACAGTTACGATAAGTTGGTATGATACGCTATGTTGTCAATGTTTGAGTATCTATGTTTCTAATGTTTGAGTATCTATGTTTCTAATGTTTGAGTATCTATGTTGCTAATGTGTGAGTATCTATGTTGTCATATTGGAGTATCTATGTTGTCAATGTTTGAGTATCTATGTGGCTAATGTTTGAGTATCTATGTTGTCAATGTTTGAGTATCTATGTTGTCAATGTTTGAGTATCTATGTTGTCAATGTTTGAGTATCTATGTTGCTAATGTTTGAGTATCTATGTTGTCAATGTTTGAGTATCTATGTTGCTAATGTTTGAGTATCTATGTTGTCAATGTTTGAGTATCTATGTTGTCAATGTTTGAGTATCTATGTTGATAATGTTTGAGTATCTATGTTGTCAATGTTTGAGTATCTATGTTGTCAATGTTTGAGTATCTATGTTGTCAATGTTTGAGTATCTATATTGTCAATGTTTTAGTATCTATGTTAATAATGTTGGAGTATCTATGTTGCTAATGTGTGAGTATCTATGTTGTCATATTGGAGTATCTATGTTGTCAATGTTTGAGTATCTATGTTGTCAATGTTTGAGTATCTATGTTAATAATGTTGGAGTATCTATGTTGTCAATGTGTGAGTATCTATGTTGCTAATGTTTGAGTATCTATGTTGTCAATGTTTGAGTATCTGTGTTGTGAATGTTTGAGTATCTATGTTGTCAGTGTTTGAGTATCTATGTTAATAATGTTGGAGTATCTATGTTGCTAATGTTTGAGTATCTCTATTATCATATTTGAGTATCTATGTTGTCAATGTTTGAGTATCTATGTTGCTAAAGTTTAAGTATCTATGTTGTCAATGATTGAGTATCTATGTTGCTAATGTTTGAGTATCTATGTGTCAATGTTTTAATGAGTATCTATGTTGTCAATGTTGAGTATCTATGTTGCTCAATGTTTGAGTATCTATGTTGTCAATGTTGTGTTGTCAAGTTTGAGTATCTATGTCTAATGTTGTATCTATGTTCAATGTTTGAGTATCTATGTTGTCAATGTTTGAGTATCTATGTTGTCAATGTTTGAGTCAATGTTTGAGTATCTATGTTGTCAATGTTTGAGTATCTATGTTGTCAATGTTTGAGTATCTATGTTGTCAATGTTTGAGTATCTATGTTGTCAATGTTTGAGTATCTATGTTGTCAATGTTTGAGTATCTATGTTTCAATGAGTATCTAATGTTTGAGTATCTATGTTGTCTAATGTGTGAGTAATGTTTGAGTATCTATGTTGTCAATGTTTGAGTATCTATGTCTCAATGTTTGAGTATCTATGTTGTCAATGTTTGAGTATCTATGTTGTCTATGTTTGAGTATCTATGTTTGTATCAATGTTTGAGTATCTATGTTGTTGTATCTCAATGTTTGAGTATCTATGTTGTCAATGTTTGAGTATCTATGTTGTCAATGTTTGAGTATCTATGTTGTCAATGTTTGAGTATCTATGTTGTCAATGTTTGAGTATCTATGTTGTCAATGTTTGAGTATCTATGTTAATAATGTGTGAGTATCTATGTTGTCAATGTTTGAGTATCTTTGTTAATAATGTTTGAGTATATGTGACTCATGAGGCTAATGATGCAGTGTTTATGTTGTCTATATTGCTATATTTACCACAGATGAAGGCGGATTAGAGTAGGGTTTCTCGTTGTCGTGCAATCATCTTGTTTTACCTTGGTGCCCTTTAAGAATATGTTACTTCTTCCTTTGTAGTGCTCTGCAGGGGAATAATGTCGAATCTGAAGAGACTTTACGACAATGAAATCACTTCCAACCGGACTCGTATTGTCCGTGTGTTGTAAATCCATAACTAGGTACTGCATCAGTGTCTTTATTTACATCTTGTACTCACTACAGATCTTTATTTACATCGTAGTACTCACTACAGTGTCTTTATTTACATCACAGTACTCGCTACAGTGTCTTTATTTACATCGTAGTACTCACTACAGTGTCTTTATTTACATCACAGTACTCGCTACAGTGTCTTTATTTATATCGTAGTACTCACTACAGATCTTTATTTACATCTTTGTACTCACTACAGTGTCTTTATTTACATCGTAGTACTCACTACAGTGTCTTTATCTACATCACAGTTCTCACTACAGATCTTTATTTACATCGTAGTACTCGCTACAGTGTCTTTATTTACATCACAGTACTCACTACAGTGTCTTTATTTACATCACAGTACTCGCTACAGTGTCTTTATTTACATCACAGTACTCGCTACAGTGTCTTTATTTCCATCACAGTACTCACTACAGTGTCTTTATTTACATCGTAGTACTCACTACAGTGTCTTTATTTACATCACAGTACTCACTACAGTGTCTTTATTTACATCTTTGTACTCACTACAGATCTTTATTTACAGCACAGTACTCACTACAGATCTTTATTTACATCGTAGTACTCACTACAGTGTCTTTATTTACATCACAGTACTCGCTACAGTGTCTTTATTTACATCGTAGTACTCACTACAGTGTCTATATTTACATCTTTGTACTCACTACAGATCTTTATTTACATCTTTGTACTCGCTACTGTGTCTTTATTTCCATCACAGTACTCACTACAGATCTTTATTTACATCACAGTACTCGCTACAGTGTCCTTATTTACATCACAGTACTCGCTATAATGTATCACACTGTACATAGTTGTAACTGTTATATATATAATCTCGGGGTTATAATACTGTGGTGATATCAAGTTTTTCTCAACATAACCAGTATAAGATTAGAGTGTGTCTTTTCGATGGCTACACAGTCACCTTCATCAGATGACCAGTGTGGAGCATTCTAGCACTGACGTAAGTAGTTACGAGATGGTAACTATTTTCGACCTAAGTGTACATAGGATTATAGCACAACCGAACTTTATCAACTCTTTCCTGAAAGGTTTCATGCCATGACTCTACTCGATCAGATAACAAGACACGATATATATAATTTATGATGTGAAATGACACTTTAGATTAAAACCCTTTCTTTTGTAGTTTGTTGCATTATTTATCATTTTCAGGTATTTTCGATATACATGTGATAAATACGGGAGACAACTTCAAGCATCATTGCATTTGCGCATAACTGTCAATTAAACTTGACAAATAAGGATGCATGACTATGGTTGATTCCATTTAAGATATCCGATCTCACGGGAATGAAGTTCACACATGAATACAAAATATCTAACAAAACGAAGCATGATCAACTTCGGAGCATTTATCGAAGAGATATCAGCCCGTCAGGATTTAGCTCAAAGATATGTCGACAACAATAATATTCCACGTTGCAGATTAAGGGATATCATAACCTAGACACAGTTGTATAACAATCCAACGGGTCACTCACAGGAGTATCATAACATAGACACAGTAGTATAACAATCCACCCGGTAACACACAGGAATATCATAACCTAGACACAGTTGTATAACAATCCACCCGGTCACACACAGGAATATCAAAACCTAGACACAGTTGTATAACAATCCACCCGGTAACACACAGGAATATCATAACATAGACACAGTAGTATAACAATCCACCCGGTAACACACAGGAATATCATAACCTAGACACAGTAGTATAACAATCCACCCGGTCACACACAGGAATATCATAACATAGACACAGTAGTATAACAATCCACCCGGTCACACACAGGAATATCATAACCTAGACACAGTTGTATAACAATCCACCCGGTAACACACAGGAATATCATAACATAGACACAGTTGTATAACAATCCACCCGGTCACACAGGAATATCATAACATAGACACAGTTGTATGACATTCCACCCGGTCACACACACAGGAATATCATAACATAGACACAGTTGTATAACAATCCACCCGGTCACACACAGGAGTATCATAACATAGACACAGTTGTATAACAATCCACCCGGTCACACACAGGAGTATCATAACCTAGACACAGTTGTATAATAATCCACCCGGTAACACACAGGAATATCATAACATAGACACAGTTGTATAACAATCCACCCGGTCACACACAGGAATATCATAACATAGACACAGTAGTATAACAATCCACCCGGTCACACACAGGAATATCATAACCTAGACACAGTTGTATAACAATCCACGCGGTCACACACAAGAATATCATAACATAGACACAGTAGTATGACAATCCACCCGGTCACACACAGGAATATCATAACATAGACACAGTAGTATAACAATCCACACACACAGAATATCATAACATAGACACAACAATACCCGGTCACACACAGAATATCATAACCTTGTATAACAACCCACCCGGTAACACACAGGAATATCATAACCTAGACACAGTTGTATAACAATCCACCCGGTCACACACAGGAATATCAAAACCTAGACACAGTAGTATAACAATCCACCCGGTCACTCACAGGAATATCATAACCTAGACACAGTAGTATAACAATCCACCCGGTAACACACAGGAATATCATAACATAGACACAGTTGTATAACACACCACCCGGTCACACACAAGAATATCATAACCTAGACACAGTAGTATAACAATCCACCCGGTAACACACAAGAATATCATAACCTAGACACAGTTGTATAACAATCCACCCGGTCACACACAGGAATATCATAACCTAGA